TAATTTTCCATTTTTGACAGTGATGTTCATTTTGCCCCTTCTTACGGTGTGTTTATTTCACAACTTGTTCACTATGCCCGTATCTGTAGTTGCATTTTACATTTCAATGAACGTAGTTTTTGTATACAAGTAACTGGTAAATTTTTAAGTCAGGGATTTCAATACCACAAATTAATTAAAACCTTTACCAATTTTTTTCATAGATAAAAAGATTTCGTTAGAACGTTTGGCTGTGACTGTAGAGTTCTTATTAAAAACGGAATATCGCATCCTAATTTGTACTTTTTTTTTGTTTGAAAAATCAAAACATAACTGAATTTATATTGCTATATATGTACAATTATGGGAACGCATGATTCTACATTCGATCGATACTGTTTACCGTTTACTTATATTTTGGCATTGAACAAGGTGATGCGTTTTGTCTAATTCGGTAGGTCACATTCGGGGAAAAGGGGACGGTATTGTAGTTACGACAATTGGAACATATCCACTATCATCTGTGAAACGGATATTACATAAGGGTCAATCAATTCGTGATGGCGTCCGTAAAATTTACGAAGGGATAATTTCAACTTCACCACTTGGAACTCTCGGTTTAATAGCTTCCTTGTGAGCAACAACCCTCTATCGAGAAAACTATGATAGGAAATACAAGCCCTGGAATAACGTATCAACTGGGAGATATATACTCCGTATGCAGGCGCTTCTGGAATGTTGCTACATAGAAATGGAAAGTTCACAATTGGGAAGCTGAAATCATCTCTTTTGTCGTAAAGTTTTGTTTTCAACCGACCATCATTGTCAATTTCTAGATGTAAGTCAAGATATGAGACAGACTTAACTGTATCTGTTGTATCCTTAATCTGAAGCTCGATGGGATAGATGCGTTCAACATAGTCACCAAATTTTGAATTATTTAGTCAGAGAACATCATCTATATAGCGGAAAGTAAAATTAAAGGATACATCTTACTTCTTTTCTTTCTTCCTAAGAAGTTCCTGTATGAAGTTAGCCTCATATGAATAAAGGAACAAGTCGGCAAGAAGAGGGACACAGTTGGTTCCCATGGGAAAGCCGATTGTTTGTTGAAAAACACGTCCTCTAAACGTAACAAATATGTTGTCAATCAAGAAACCAAGCATCTTGATAATGTCAGTTTGACAGAATTTTTTGTTTGAATCACAGTGATTTTTTACAAAGTACGATTTATCCCACCCTAAGACAAGATACTTGTATCTACGTTGGCCATTCTTTTTTATGGAACAAATCAGGACCAACTCTTTAAATTTGTCGTTTAGTTTGGAATGGGGAATACTTGTGTAAAGTGTAGTAAAGTCAAATGTTTTAATACTATTGCAAGATGAAAGAGTCTTAGATTGTATGTACTCTAAAAAATCTTTGGAATTTTTTAGATCCACATCTGATTCACGCCACCTCTAGAATAGGTAGTTTCACAATAACTTTGTCGCCCGGCTTTGATTGCTGATAAAATTGATGTTAATAATTTAGGAAGAGGTTTCGTGGAGTACTTGGAAGATCCTGCAATATAACGTTGTTTGTAAGGACACTTTTGTAGTTTAGGTATCTAATACAGTGAAGGAAGATCCAGTTCTTCACCTTTGGTTGAAATTCCAAAGGAACATAGAACACACCTATGATTATCCAGGATTTCCTCCTTATTTATATATTATTTATACATTTGTCGTCGAACATTTTTTGCTAGACGCTGTAAGTTTATTCTCGACTTATGAGTTTTGAATCTCCCCTTGGTATCTTCTACCTGTTTTTTTATATCTACTACCTACGATAAATAAATCTATTTTATATCACCTCTGTGTAATAAATTGGACATTGATAAAGCTTTGCAAATACCGATTCACAGTTACATAGTTGATACAATTTCCAACTGCAATTGTTTTCGTAACGATGCGTTTTGAACTCGCCGTATAGGCAATTTGAAATAACCAAAAAGTAATATTAGGCATTATCAAATGCTGAAGATCAATTAACCAAGCATTTGTTGTCTAAACTTTTATGACATATGGTCTAAATAGACAAGTTATATCTTTCAAAAACTTTAAAACCTTACAAATACCGGTACTTCTGTTTTACAATCTTTTGGTAATATCCATTCAAAAATATGTATTCAATATAAAAAGGAGGTGTAGTATTAAATCCAGTTAGACATCTTTCAGTGCTGGGACTAAATGACCAGGATGTAAGCATGCATGCAAACGTCACCGTACGACCTTCAACAATGAGTAAGATCTATACCGTATAGAAAATAAGGAAAGACTCCGACATGACAAAATGTAAAATAATTCAAACGAAAAAACCAAAATGCAATAGCAGATATTTTACAAAGCTATTTTTACAGACCTTTGCCATATAGTTTCTACACTTGAAGGCTATGCCCCTGCCAATATTGTACACCAATAGGGTATAGCACGTACATTTCTAATAGTTAAGAAGGATGCAGCGAACAAAGTAAATAAAACTTTTCCTAAAGGGGTATGAGATCTAAATTAAGATATGATTTTGTTTTTGTTTCAAATATTTATAAAGACAGAATATAGAAATGATATTTAGCTATTTAGCAGTCAATTTGGTTCAATTTCGTTTAGATAAACTGAAAACATCATCGCTGGTCTATTATTGACTTGTAATTCAATTATGCAACTTCATTTAAATCCGTATTCATGCAACCTTAGTTTAACCTTTAGTGGAGATAGGCACGCATGTGTTCAGTAGGTGGTTCATTCATTAAATGGGAAAGAATATCAACATTGATAGTAAAACAAGAGAGACACTAGGAATAACCATTGTTGACTGCTCCGGCATACAAAAATTATTCTTATATAGGTAAAACGATGATATACATATATGTTTAATCTATAACATGAAATCAACAAACCTAGAAAAATCGTTATTATACGATTGCACGTGTTTGACTGTCTTTTTATTTTTTTATTTATATCAATATCGGGTTATATGACAGTCGGCAGTCTTCGGAGGTCTTCTCAATAGATAACTAGATGGCGTTTAGTCTAAGATATGCACGAAATGTAATATAACGAGTCCATGCAACTGTTTATTGTTTCTTTTGGACTTTTTTAAATTTGAATATATAATTTAGTATGTTATAAATCAAAATATGAGAATTTGGGTCAAATCGATGAACATGAAATTGACAGCTAATGCCCATTTAATATACTTCAGATTTTTATAGTTTGTTAGTATGTTGTGCTGTTACAACACTGTCCCACGTTAGTAGAAGAGTTGGGTGTCCGCAAACATGATGAACCCCGCCTCATCGATATGTGTCGGTCCCTATTCGGAAATTCAGTGGTGTTTCGTTGCGGTTTGTCATATTTGTTTTTTGCATTAAGCAGGACGTTAGTTTTCTCGTTTAAATTACCTTACATTTGTCATTTTGGCCTTTTTATAGCATGTTATGCGGTTTGGGTTTTGCAAGTTATTGAAAGCCATACTGTGACCTTTAGATGCCTACTTCTTCGTCAATTGGTCCCTGGTGGAGTTTTTTCTCATTGACAATCATACCACATCTTCTTATTTTTATAGTTCACAAGCATTGGCATCGATCACGTTTGCCATGTTGCTGTTAATCTACATTACAGAACAGAGGTCTAAATGTGAATATAGGAACTAAACCGTTTAGTATTCCGGCTTTCTGGAATATTGCCTTTATTTACACTCATGAATCAAGTGCGTGTGGTTAAACAATTGTCACAATTCTCGATTGATAAAGAGAATTAGAGAAAAAATGCCCAATTTCCATAGCAAAATTAATAGATTGTATCGTGTGCCAAGAAAAAGGCGTCTGATAAAATTTCGCCACATATATGATCCATTGCCTATGTTGCCCTTATAGCAATATCATCAACTTTATGTTAATTCATTAAATCGTGAAATTACCCAGCGACATATTTTCAAACCGAAAAGCTTATTTTGGTAGTTGTTGAAATATTTTGTACCTTTTTTTGTCATTTTGTGTTATTTCATGCAAATGAATCTCTAATGAAACAAAAAATTCTCTGAAATTGACATTATCAAGATGCTTGATTTCTTGATTGACAACGTATTTGTTACGTTTGGAGGACGTGTTTTTCAACAGACTGTCGGAATTCCAATGGGAACCAATTGTGCCCCTCTTCTTGCCGACTTGTTTCTTTATTATTATGAGGCTGACTTCATACAGGAACTTCTTAGGAAGAAAGATAAGAAGTTAGCAATATCCTTTAACTCTACGTTCCGCTATATAGATGATGTTCTCTCACTAAATAATACAAAATTGAACGAATCTATCCAATCGAACTAGAGATAAAGTATACTACAGATACAGTTAAGTCTGCCTCATATTTTGACTTACATCTAGAACTTGACAATGAGGGTCGGTTGAAAACAAAACTTTACGACAAGAGAGATGATTTCAGCTTCCCAATTGTGAACTTTCCATTTCTATGTAGCAACATCCCAGCAGCGCCTGCATACGGAGTATATATCTCCCAATTGATACGATATTCCCGGGCTTGTGTTTCCTATCATGATTTCTTTGATAGAGGATTGCTGTTCACAAGGAAGTTTTTAAACCAAGAGTTCCAAATGGTGAAGTTGAAGTCATCCCTTCGTAAATTTTACGGACGCCATCACGAGTTGGTTGACCGTTATGGAATAACCGTTTCACAGATGATAGTGGATATGTTCCTTATGTCGTAACTACAATACCCTCCCTTTTCACGAATGTGACTTACCCTTCCGGAGCACCTGAGATCAACCCCAGTTTTTGGTGGGTTTCGTGTTGCTTAGTCTTTGGTTTTCTATGTTGTGTCATCTGTATTATTATTTGTCTGTTTGTCTTTTTATTTTTTGCCATGGCGTTGTCAGTTTGTTTTCGATCTATGAGTTTGACTGTCTCTCTGGTATCTCTCGTCCCTCTTTTGAATAATACAAAAAATTGAAAAGTGCCATACGTAAATTTAATCAAATGGTAACAATATATAATTTCGATTAAAAACATTCAGATTAAAAATTTCTTTTAATACTTATCTGTTTGAAATATAATTTTTCATAAGAAAACGATAACATTTTATTGGAAACAAAGTTCTCCAAAATGTCTTTCCAATTACAGTAAGCATAATTCGAGAAAACAAATGTCCTGGTATTTTCACTTTAGATATAGCACAAGTCAAATATGTAGCATGAAAGACGTCTTCTTATACTGAAAGAAAAGAAATAAATCTTTTAAAAATTTTTGCAAGCCGGGACAAATCAAAAATTTAAAACAAATTAAATTTCATATTGGCTACATCCCGACTAAGCACGTTATACTCAGGAGTAAGAGAAAAAAACAGATAAGACTGAACATATTTTGACCGAGTAGGGTCGAATTTCGTATTGCGTTATAACATAGAAAATTAAAACTTGATTCAGTGTGTTAGTCTTTTACAAAGAATCATTTTTATCATATGTTAAAAGAGTTTTCGTCTTGATTATGCTTGTAACATTTACTGCTTGATGTGAAGCAGTCGTCAATCAACAAATTTATTTATCGGATATATGGCTTTTACACCGGATGCGCATTATAAGAATCTTAGAATATGTTTAATATTTGACGTTTGAAATTAAACAGTCGTCAATCAACTCGAATTAATATTTATGTACTTTTGGACACCTTTCAATGTTTTTTACTTGTCCGAGTGTACTGTAAACATATCTGTGAAAATTAAACAAATAATGTCAAGCAATTCAGCAGCAGAAATAAATACATAAGTGGGATGAAAGGAAAAATGAAAGTTGGACGGAGTGGACTTAACAATGAAAGTTTAACTGATTATAATCGTTCTTTTCTTAAGTCTCACTTTTTTTTTTATCCATATGGGATTTAATAACCTTTATGGGTTGATCAATATTAATTACCCGACAACAGTTTTCTTAAAATAAAGCGTATGTTTATGTAAATGTTAATGTTCAAATGTCAAAACTTTATCACTATAATAATTCGATCACATGTGTTGATCTTAAAATGCATGAAGTGTTTGCAAATGGACATAAAGCAAACAATAAATGCATTAATTCTTTATTCATAGAGAATAGAACGGAATCATTTAGAATGAGATTTCAAGGTAATGATCAGTTTTAGCTTGATTTATGCTTGAATTCTTTCCATAGTTCATAATTTAAGTTCAGTATTTTTTTTTTGTAATTCCAAACGCTTTCAAGGTTAATTGTAACCACTTTATATCAATCAAAACAATACAATAAAAAACATAAGCATGATGAGGGTAAAATACAAAGATTTCACCCACTAAATTAATTTTTACATATTCTGTAGCACTTCCCCGAAAATACAAATCAAACGCAAAGATATATTTAATACAGATATGACAGTTTTTTTTTCAAATCGATTGTATCATTGAAAAGTACACACATATATATACATAATCCAGTTATAAATGAAAAAAGATAATTGATTGAAGTAAACTGGCAAATCAAACACACCTACAACATGCGTGTGAAGTAGCTTATAACTATCACTAAATTTTAAATTTAGATTGAAAACTTATTTTTAAACTGACTAGTAAAACTAGTTTCACAATGTTTATATTCTGTCACTAATTCTGATTGGTTATCTGCTTAACTATTGGCTCCACCAAAAGGCAGGATATACCTTACCTAATAATGATTTCGTGGTTCAGCTAGCAAGGAAGCTAACCAAAAATTCTACCTTTACTTACACACTCAAGTCATTCTGATGTAATAGAGTTAAGCGTCCACTCTGTGTTTTTGTTAGATGTATTTCTATTTGTATCCATGTGATGAGTTGAGCCTTTTTGAACTGATTTTTATAGTTCGTTCTTATGTTGCACCGTAACACCACTGTCCCAGGTTATGGTGAGGGTTGGGATCCCGCTAAAATGTTTAACCCCGCCACATTCTGTTTGTATGTGCCTGTTTATATATTTAGAGGTTTCGGTGTATTTGTGTTTCTATCCCTTTCTCCATTGATCCGCTTCAATATATCACCATTGAAACAGAGCTCAGTTTAGGCTCCAAGCAAATTTACAATTTAACGCAAGGGAAGATAGTTTTGTAGCAAAATTACATATCCATCATTTACATTAAACAACCTTTTGTATCAGATACCTATCCCTATCCCTATTTTGATGAAATATACGTTGCATAATTCTGTGTAGTATTTTGTCTCCAAGAATAATTCGATATTAAAGTTATAAAGCTGTTGATAACTATGACTTACTACCACACTTACCTTAAATAGAGTTCACGTCGGGTGCTAAAATCTGTAGAAAATAATAAAACTTTACGAAAATATATAGCATGGTTAATAAATTATTATAATTTGTCGTAAAGTTTTGTTCTTAATCAACTTTTTATAAAAATTGCTCAATTGAATTCAAGGTATGAGGCAGAATTAACTGGTATCTTTTATTATTTAAAGTTCGAAGGGCTAGATGCGTTAACATATTTTTAAGCATAGTCACCTAACATTGATTTATCTAGTGAGAATACATCATTTATATAGCGGAACGTGATATTTCAGGATGATACTAGCTTGCTTTCAAATACAAGAGGAGCTTATGTTTGGAGTCTGTCTCATAATATTAAATAAATCAGTCGGCAACAAGAGGAGCACCGTTGGGTCCAATAGGAATTGTGATTGTGTGCTTTAAAACATGTCATTCAAACGGAACAAATGTGATGGCAGTTATGAAATTAATTCCATATGGATTCCCACCATAATAAATGAAAAATAATAACATACTACAGTGTACTCCTTAGTTTGCCATATTGAAATCTTTCTAAAATCCAGCATCTTGATAATGCCAGTCTCGGTGACGATTGGACAAAACATGAGACTTCTTCTTTCAATCTGTCTTTAAGTTGAGAATTAGGAATCATAGGACAAATGTTTTATTTTATTTCAAGAGGAAAGAGACTTAGATTGTAAGTACTCGTACAAATCTATTGTTTTGTTTTATATCATATCAATATCAATATTAGGTTCATAACAGATGAATGTAGCCGAGTCTTCATAGATCCATGAAATAATTAATTCTAATTTGTATAAATGACCTCACAACATTTACCCATTCGGAAAGAGTACTCACGCCTTTTATTTCACGTTCAGTCCATTGCCTGACATAATCCGCGATAAAATCAACTAACATGTTAAAGTAGTGTTTCCAATTTATGGATTTAGAACTAGTTATTGAATGTTCATTGGATTGTTAAGAAACGGTCAAAATAGGTAGGCTGTTTTACAAAATAATAAATGAATAAACCTTAACATAAGGTTAAACAGATATTCTTGTTAATCAAAGAACGATACATTTGCGAATATTTTTTGTTAGTTAAAGTACTTGTTTCACATTCTTTCTAACGGTTTACCTATGTTAATGAAATCAATAAGCCAACAAACCTTCTTTACTTTTTCTTTGCACGAAGTTCCACAGGAAGGATTATAACAGCACATTTGGCCTGTAGACGAAATCAGGACATTAAGATTACACAATGTGTTAGATTATGATTCAAATAAATTAGGATACGTAATTCTGTTAAAAACACTTTCAATTCTTAATCAGATATATATCTAACACTATGTCTAAACTACCCCGGCAAAAAATGTTTGGATTCGATGGTATCTAATATCCGGCACGGTGACGGAACATCAACAGACAGAGAAAAGGTAGTTTTCTGTTTATTTATTTGTTATTTTTATGATATCGAAGAATATATATACATATACTAGACGTTCCCTTGTCACCATCTTACGGTGTTTATATATCTCAACTTGTTCGATTCGCTCGTGTATGTAACAATGTTTTAGATTTTAACGAGAGAAATTTATGTATTACTGAAAAATTATTACACCAGGGTTTTCGATATCACAAACTAGTCAAAACATTTACTAAATTTTATCATCGGTATAAGGACATCATTCGTAAATATAGCTCAACATACAGACTTCTTACACGTTCTGGTTTTTCACATCCAATTTTTTATGGAAATATTCTTTATAAAGCACAAAAATGTCAGTATTCACCTCTGAAGCTAACAAAACCTTTAAATAGACTTATTACGAAGGGATATAGTTACGATACTGTTGTCAGGTCATTAAAGATTGCATATTTTGGCGTTAATATTGATTCACTTATAGGGTCTTTGCATCGGAACTAAACACATTTATTTAAAAACCAGTTGTTGGCATGACACGGGTTATGTTTTTCTCATATATGTTATGATGGTATGATACAAAACCCCTAACGGGAAGGTTGTGCCTGATATTCATATGATGAAGACATAATCTTTCAATCAGTTTAATTGAAGTCTGGAGCTGGCATGTCAGTTAACTGCTAGTAGTCTGTTGTTATTTATGTATTACTGTCATTTTGTTTATTTTCTTTGGTTACATCTTCTGACATCAGACTCGGACTTCTCTTGAACTGAATTTTAATGTGCGTATTGTTATGCGTTTACTTTTCTACATTGGCTAGAGGTATAGGGGGAGGGTTGAGATCTCATAAACATGTTTAACCCCGCCGCATTTTTGTGCCTGTCCCAAGTCAGGAGCCTCTAGCCTTTGTTAGTCTTGTATTATTTTTAATTTTAGTTTCTTGTGTACAATTTGGAGTTTAGTATGGCGTTCATTATCACTGAACTAGTATATATATTTGTTAAGGGGCCAGCTGAAGGACGGCTCCGGGTGCGGGAATTTCTCGCTGCATTGAAGACCTGTTGGTGACCTTCTGCTGTTTACTGTTCTATGGTCGGGTTGTTGTCTTTTTGACACATTCCCCATTTCCATTCTCAATTTTATATATAACTATTTTCTGTTGTGAGATGTAATATTTTCTACAACCGTTCTAGATTAACGGAGAAATAAGTAAAAATGCACGTCAAAATGACGAATTGAGTGAACCTTGCTTCGAATTTGTTTAATTTCTCGATAAATTGTTCACATGGTACGTAAAGAAAGGTACGGAAAGAAAGATATTGACATTGAGATTGCAAAACTAGTCACTTTGAGCACCTCAATACTTGTATTTCTGTGTATGGAACGAAAGAAATGGGTCATTTCAAAACGGAAGCACCCGGTTTTGTCAATGTGTATAACCCGGTTTTGTCCTAGATTTCACAAGGCAGAACCCGGTTTTGTCAAAGAAAGAAAATGCATAATTGCATAACATAATTGAACTTCAGCGTTTAAAAGGAGTTTGGTGGCTCGTTGGGAAACGATTTCTTACAGATGACAAATTATTATTTATTTGAATCTGTAAACACTTCAATTCTTACTTTATTCGAACAAAAATAATTATAATTTTGCTTTGCATTTAAAAAAAAACTTTAACTGCGAAACAGATAGAAATGACGGTTAAAACGCAAATTGAGGTATAAGCTCTCTATACGTTTGTTTTTTTATACGAATAATGTAAATTTGAGTGTTTAAACTTAAAATTACCGTTTATGGTCTTAAAAATTGAAGGACGCACATTTGGTATGTGATTTTCTTGCACAACAGTATGGTTATCTTTATAAGTAATACAATCTACCTAGTGGTTTAATCTTTCCTATGAACGTTTAAAATAAATCTTCTTAAGGCTAAATGTTCATTATAAGGCATGATAATCAGATAAATGTATATATGCATGCAGAATCGCAAAAGAAAATGAATGTTTATGGTGAGAAAAGGATTACAATAATCATGCATTACAAATCAAATCTATTTAGCCCTAATTGTAACTATAATACTAAATATAAATTAGTATGATAGTCACAGGCCATCGAGAAAATGCAATAATCATTATTTTATTAATAGTTGTATAAATAAACGGTTCTGTAATCTCTCCATTGTGTTATGATTATCGTACATTGACGTTGGTCAATATATTATTGACAATATATAGGGACGGATTCAGGTTTTTTCAAAGTGGGCGTAATTTAAACAGCTTAGTATTTACATACCGCAGAGCGTAGCGAAGCGAACAATGTTTTGGACGAATTTATGCTAAAAAAGAATCGTAAAAAAAAGATTCAATATTTTTTGGGCCATCAAAGGTGGGGGTGGGGGCGTGCGACCTATACGCCACCTGGATTCGCCACTGATGTTATATAACTAAATTGATACCAACTTTAAAATTAAAAAAAGAAAGCAGGGACACCCGTGAAATTTGATGTATGTGAGTAGGATTATCATGTTTATTCAAAAAAATCACATTGATATTTTGGAATTTTCGGAATGCGCGACCAAGGGATGCAAATTCGTAGCGGCTTGAACTATTTGTATGAAGCTTCATATGTCAGAAGTTAGAAGGCCTGAGTGCAACATACCTCGCACACAGATGTTTTATGTAACGATGTTTCTATCTGTCATATGTCCATTGCCCTTGACCTCATTTTCATGGTTCAGCGATTTCCTAACAAAATGAATAGCTGATAATGGTTGATATCTATGATCAAGGTTAACATTTCGTGTTCAAGTCCGTATCTCTAATACCATAAATATTAGGTCAACTATATTTGCTCGTATGGCGCACATGACTATTTGTGTGACCTTGAACTTATTTTCTTGATTAATTGGTAAATGTTAAGTTTTTTTTTGGTTTTAATGATTGTAATATGTTCATGTGCGTCTGGCAGGTTTCATCAGACCTTGACTTTTTTTATTGTTCCATGAACAATGTTAATTTTATGTGATACTTTTATTAAATAAATTATCAAACAGACCTTCAAAATAAATTCAACAACGATCATTCAAGCAGTTGCAACATGTCAGTGCCTACACTCTTGTATAAATAATATGAAGTATTCATTTTTGTTAAAAAAAAGCAATTTAAGTTGTTTTGCCATGTCCGATTAGTTAATCTCGTTCGTGTAAGCCTTAATTATGGATTGTTAGACATTTTTTTTTTATTTCAAGAACGGTGCAATCTTGTTTGGAATTCTTGGTTGGTTTTAGCTCACCTGACCCAAAGGGAAAAAATAGCTTTTTTTCATCACTTGGCCTCCGTCGTCCGTCGTCTTCCGTTAATTTTTTTTTCAGAAATATTCTCCTCTGAAATTACTGGGCTACAATACATTTAACAAAACTTATCCACAATCTTATGTCGGTTTTAAAAGTTCTAACGAACTTATGTTTAACTGCTTTTCATCATCATTGGGGTATCTATTTAAAAAAATTTTGATGACCCCGCTTGTCAACAAAGATGACCGACATGGCTTAAAATAGAACATAGGGGATGCAAGTTTTGTCTATTATTTGAAAACAGCTATAGATAGAGAAATTTTAACTGGAGCAGATATGTACATAATGTTGAGCTCTACCTTTTGTCCATATACATCAAAACTCTCACACGAATTCTTATAGAAGTTATTGTCCTTAAATGACAGATTTCTTATTTTTTATCCATTTGCAATGCATAAAAGTTATATAGCAAAAATGATCAGCAAGACAATATATACTAATAAGTCGACTTGGTCGATATCCTTATAAGAATTATTGACCTTCAATTAAAAGTTTTACTATTTCTTTGCGTTTTTGCCAATTATCTTACAAAAATCTTCTCCTCTTTAACAATTTAATTAAACTTAACCACACGCTTTATTGAGGTATCTGGTTTAAAAACCAACATGATCAGCCATTTGTAAATTAATTTTTTTGTTTCAGGGTACCAGTGTAAACGTTGATTTTCATCAAATAAACAAAACCTGGTTCTATACATAGACAAAACCGTGTCATTGTGTAGTAAACAACATTGACCAAACCGGGTGCTTCCGTTTTGACATGAACCATTTCTTTCGTTCCATACACAGAAATACAAGTATTGAGGTGCTCAAAGTGACTAGTTTTGCAATCTCCATGTCAATATCTTTCTTTCCGTACCTTTCTTTCCGAACCGTGTGAACAATTTAACGAGAAATTAAACAAATTCGAAGCAAGGTTCACTCAATTCGTCATTTTGACGTGCATTTTTACTTATTTCTCCGTTAATCTAGAACGGTTGTAGAAAATATTACATCTTAAAATAGAAAATAGTTATGTATGTATATATATTCTTCGATATCATAAAAATAACAATTAAAAAATCAGAAAACTACCTTTTCTCTGTCTATTGATGTTCCGTCACCGTGCCGGATATTAGATACCATCGAGTCCAAACATTTTTTGCTGGGGTAGTTTAGACACAGTGTCTAAGTCGTGTCCTTTAGACAATATATTGAGTACTAAGTCTACCTCATATCTTGACTTACATCTAGAAATTGACAATGACGGTCGGTTGAAAACAAAACTTTACGACAAAGGGATGATTTCAGCTTCCCAATTGTGAACTTTCCATTTCTATGTAGCAACATTCCAGCAGCGCTTGTATACGGATTATATAACTCCCAGTTGATACGATATTCCAGGGCTTGTATTTCCTGTCATGATTTCCGTGATAGAGGGATGCTGCTCACAAGGAAGCTATTTAACCAAGAGTTCCATTTAATAAATTTGAAATCATCCCTTCATAAATTTTACGGACGCCATCACGAGTTGGTTGAACGTTATGGAATATCCGTTTCACAGATGATACCGGATATGTTCCCATTGTCAACTACATTCCCGTCCCATTTTTAACGAATGTGACCTGGCGAATTAGACTTTAAGTATTACAAATGAAAGTGAATCAAAAAAGCCCCTTCAGAACATTAAATTCTAGGAATAAAATAGATGTCGTGTTTACGTCAGTCAGACGTCAACTGAAAAGTAAAAGACATCTAGAGGCAAAGCTATGGTCTTTAACAATAGACACGTTAAATCAAAGAAAAAAACTTTAAAGTTATTTAACTGTATACATTTGAAATAATGAATTGCGATTAAATTGCCTTTTTGTCTTTTTTTATTTTTGGCCATGGCGTTGTCAGTTTGTTTTCGATCTATGAGTATGACTGTCCCTCTGGTATCTTATGTCCCTCTCTTGCACATTGACAATTTTTGCCCTCAACTGGAGAATGACACTATTTTACATACCACATATAACTCTTTACTATTTTAAGTATCATTAATTTTTCTACATTTATTTCGTGTTTTTCAAGGTGGATTATGACCCGACGTTAAGCAATCAACAATCAATATATCATTCAAAGAGGGATGAAAATCAAATCTTCAAAAAAAATGAATCCAATCAAAAAAAATATTTCCGAATTATCTAGGTGTAAAATATGAGCTAATTTCATACACCAAATAAATCGTTTTAATATTGGTATTGATCGTTATTAGATTTCAAAGCGTCCAACACGTGCATCAATTTCAACAAACAGATGCTGGACAAGGAACAGGGGTGCGATCTGGTAATTATCAGAATAGTTAATTCACTATTGATTCCCATTACTTTCTATGAGTGTTATTATCTTAAAAAAACAATTGTTCTCTTTACTGGAATATCACGTGTCATTCCATGGGCACGTCAATGTCGATTCGTCTTTATACTAACAAAAACTAATCGGAGATAAAATGTTATCTGGTATAAATAGCAGATCTTAATGGCATTCATTTACCATTCCTGAAGATATTATGGTGTAAAAACAACCTTTACTTCTACAGATTGTAGAAACTCGCAGTGGCTTGTAAATGATTATATCATATTTGATAAACTTATATTTTGTTTTCAAAAAAAAAGAAAAAGCAATATTTATATTTACCTGTATTACAGTCCTGATCTGAGTTACACAGTTGTTGATATCTAAAGCAAACGAAGTCATCAACTGGACATCCCGGTAGTTGTATCTATGAGAATCGTTATTAGATGATTATTTTTGTTGGAATAACAACTCAATATTCATGGAAAAATACTGTTAGAGTACCTACATTTTATCTACTAAAGGGTTAGACGATTTATGATAACATAGCAGTATTTTTGTATCTTTGTACTGTTTGGTCTTCTTATCTGTGTCTGTCAGTCTTGCTTATCAAATTAAATTGATGAATGTATTCCAAAATATAATAAAAAGGATTGATAAGTTTACCCGGATCGTATCTATAATTGAAAAGTACTTTTCTTCTTATCATCAATGTTCAAATTTCGTAAATCAATTAAATACAGACACATCAAGACAATATAAAAAAACCCTGAGATAATCGTATAAACACCGAAAGGAGCAAAATGTGCAAGACAATGAACGTCGGCATGATAAGCGTTACCTACCGCGCATGAACCAACCGCCATGCGATTCCATGTTCACTCAAATGTCAAAATCAGAAATAGGAAAAAATCAGTAAAATTACAGATCAAACAACTATATTAGTAACTAAAACTCAAAGACCGCGAGACCATGTCACTAGTGAGTTGAAACACCGACAATTTGTATCGTTTAGTGATGGTCACTTAAAAATTTATGTAGTGTCGATTTCAGTTGTCTTCCTTAGAACTCAGTTGGAGCAGTTTTATGTGTAATGAGCACACCTCTGTTGATAAAGTAAGTGTGAGAATTTACGAGCGTGAACTAAGATATAAACACCATACGATTGAGCAGAAGGTATGTTACTGCTGAGAAATGGAAAGACAATTGGAAAGTTTAAATCATCACGTTTGTCATAGATTCTAATTTGAATTATTCATCTGTGTTGATATTAAAGAACAGGCCCAGATATGAAACAGACCTTCTACTTTCGGTAGTGTTCTTTATCTCAAATTGGGTTATATTATATGTACTCAATCAAATGTGGGTTATTGAGTGACAGAACAACACCAATATATCTGAAAGAGAATTTAAAGAACTTTGTAAAAGAGAGGCGAAAGATACCAAAGAGACATTAAAACTAATGAGTCGAACTTAAACTGAAAACGCCATTGCAAAAAAAAGAAAAATACCAAAGACTGAGCAGCACGAACCAACCAACAAACCGGGGTAATCCGGAAGGGTAAGCAGATCCTGCTCCACATGTGGCATCCGTCATGTTGCTCATGTAAGTACAAATCCGATGATAAGTCTGATTCGGTAGGTCACATTCGAGTAAAAGAGGACGGGATTGTGGTTACGACAGTTTGGAACATATCCGTTGTTATCTGTGAAACAGATATTCCATAACGATACATGAGCAGCACGACGAATGCCACACGTGGATCAGGATCTGCTTATCCTTCCAGAGCACCTGAGATCCCCCTGTTTTGGTCGGGTTCGTGTTTCTCAGTCTCTTGTTTTCTATGTTGTGTTTTGTTTACTGTTGTTCGTCGTAATTTGGTCGTTTTTCCGTTTTTACCATGGCATTGTCAATTCGTTTTTGACTTCTGAATATCACTTTGGTATCTTTGCCTTTTTCTATCATTTCTTATCATAAGTTAAAGAATTAATCACGGTCTGATTAAATTTACTGATTAAATCCTCAATATTTCTATGGAATAAAATTTCAATTCATACATCTCATTTAAATTCAATACGTATATTGGAAATATTAGATCTTGCATTCAAGAAGATTATTCGAGCATTGACCTCTCTAATGTTCTGCTAATGATATAGAAAACTTCTATAAAATTTAAAAGAATAATTGTATGGAACATGCTAAATCACTGCCCCGGTTTATATAAAAACGCCTTACAAATTGTCAGTTTCATCAGAATTACAACAAACTAGTAGCGGCGATAAGGTCATAGTAGTTATGCTTAAAATATGATACAAATAAAGAATTAAAAACATATTAAAATTATGTTAGCATTGCTTGGACTACTATTGCAAACGGAATGGTGACAATTTCCAATTTTGTACTTTTCCATAATTTTCTTTTTGTGTTTCATAAATGATAATCAATAAGTTCTGTTATTGGAAGTTTAATGTTTGCAGATAATTTATTGATAATGTCAGAATCAAAAGGAGGTCTTAAGGAAAGCTTAGATAAATTTTCTTCTTACTGTGATAAATGGCAACTAACTGTTAATTGAAAAAAAAGACTATGGTGCTTGGTCGTCGTCATAAAAAGACGCAAAATACAATATTTAATTGCATGCACACTGTTCTAGAATCAGTAAATGAATTTAAGTTTTTAGGCAACTTGCACTCACAAAATGGAAATTTATTGTCATCTGCTGAATCACTTTCGAAAAAAGCTCTTAAAGTTATGTACTCTATCAAAAGCTATACACGTGGCCTGTACCAATAGCCAGCAAATTGATCTGTTCATTTATTTGATTCTCTAGTTCGTCCTATTCTTACATATAATTGTGAAATTTGGTATATTGATGTGTACAGATCATACTATGGTGCAATTGCTTGAGCCAGAAAAAATATTTCCTTTGGATAGACTCAATTTTATAGAGTCCCCAGAAAAAAATCACAATAAGTTTTGTAAATTTGCACTTGGAATGAAGAAATGTGCTAGTTATATTGCCTCTATATCAGAATAAGAGGATTCTCCTTTTATTGTTTCATTGCCACACAGTCACGTTTTTATGAAGACCGACTTTTGAATGAAAACTCATCTGATTTACTTAAAGGGTGTTATTCCCTTTAAAAGTCACTTCATGATCAAGGTATATACTTATGGTACTCATATGTAAATCACATTAGGTCCGACAATAATATTAGCAAATCCAAAGATGAATCATCTAAAACCAAATACAGAGCCTGTAAGAATCTTATTTAAAGATAATATAAAAATGAACTTTAGCAAAGCTATAAAGAAATATACGACAATAAGATATCATCTCTTGATCAAAATAGTAAACTTCTTTTGTTTAAGGATATAAAAAACTGAACATAAACAAAAATTTTATTTGGCATACCCTAGTCTTGGTACAAGAAAACTTAGCAAGTGAAATATTTAGGCTACTTTATTAAACAGTCTATGGAACTGAGGACAGGGGGCACTTGAGGTCATTTGTTGTGTTGAGTGTTTAATATTTTGTTTTATTTTTATGTATTTGTCATCATTATATTGGTGTTTATACATGTAATTGTTATTACGCCTTTGGCCCTCTTTTGGGTGTAATTTGTGCTTAATAAAGTGTATACAGATTTTGAAAATGTTAAGTATGAGCACAACAAACTTAATACTAATTATTGATTAAAAATATGAAGTTATTAATACGTCATAATATTTGAAAACTTATTTAATTTATTTCTTGAATTGTTTCTTGATTTCTATATACGTTTATAAGCTTTGTGCAAATTTGAAGTTACTAAAAGCCCTTTATATATATAATATATATCGTCCTTAATATCTCTGTAATATTACCAAAAGGACGTTGCAATTGTACGTTACTTCAACAACATATTTCGTAATTAAATAAATAATATTTTTAATATTTTAATATTTACATACTCAATAGTGTGTTAAAATTACATTGTTAGGCAATTTATATATATATATATATATAGGGCGCCGGAAACGGTGCAGGTGGTGTTTCCACGATGTCACAGACGCTTGGGATCGAATCCCGCTGAGGGAAGAACAACAATTTGCTAACGCAAATTTGAAGATCTAACATTTTTGGGCTAAATTTGAAACGAATTATATATATATGGTGTTAGTCCTGTATAACCACGCGTTATCCGATGGAGAATGTCTGTCATAAAGTTGTCACATGTTTAGACGTGTATAATAAAATTAAAATTTGATGTGGCGGCATGGTAATTAACATTATCATCCTTTACGACAGACAAAATAGTTGATCTGAAAGGTACACCATTTACTTGCCACTATACATCATGTACTGTGTTATTATATATAGCAGTTTGCCTAATTAGATGATGCATGTCAAGAGTCAAGAATGATATCTGTGTATTCTAGTATTGCGCATCCATAAACATAGTACAAATTCACAAAGAAAGCTTACCAGTAGAGGATTTTTGCAATTGTTTGATCCACAGTCTGTTGGACAGCATTTCATACCATCTACAAACAATTAAAAAATATCTTCATTACATAGCAATGACATTCAATATTCGTTTTACTAAAATAGTTTTGAAATGAAAAGTCTTTGATATATTTAGGTAACTGCACTTAAGAATAAGACAGTTGTTTTTCATTCGTTTGCTGTGTTTGCTTTTTTGATTTTGCCATTTGATGAAGACTTTTCGTTTTGAATTTTCCTTGTAGTTTTTTTTTTTTTTTTTTTTTTTGGTACTTTTGTTATATTCCTATTTTCAGACAATGTGGATACAATCTTGTAAATTCTACATATTTAAAATGTTTGACCAAAAAAGAATAATTTGGTATCTGAAAGTCGATATAAATATAGATTTATTATTAGTTAGACTTTTGCTTTGGTTACGAATGTCCTCCTAACATATAAATGTAGTGCAGCGGAATGTAACAACTTAATTATGCAGGTTAGATTAAGGGTTTTACAGTTGACACAATAAAACAGACATGTTTCGAAAACAGTCTTACATTTCGAAAGACAACAAAAGCCACAAATGGACATTCTTGAACCCTGAGGGCTTCACGCAGTTAACATAAAACAATGTCAATTCTCTCTTAATGTATATCGCGATAATGACATTAGTGTAAGGGAGTTTTTTAACTGGTTTAAAATGTTGCTATGGGAATACGTTCTCCGTATCAAAAAGAAAATTGTCCAGAGAGGTTCGTTTTGTTAAATCTTCAGTTTTCTGTATTGTGTTTTATGAGATATTGTTCGTCTTTTTGTCGTTAGAGTTTTTGATTGAACTCTTCGAATGTTTTACCTCTCCTTTGTCAACTAAATTCATCAACAATTAAATTAATTTCAAATTATTTTTTAACATAATTCTAATTTGGGCTTTGAATTATTCTTAATTTGTAATTAATAATACAGTAATATATACCTTCACAATCTGAGTCTTCGCCAAAGCAATTGGAACTAATTTTAGCTAATGAACAATCTGTGATAGGATTCACTAAAGGGGGACAAACGCCATGTACTGTCTGAGTCTAAAATAAATTGGTGAATATAACCAGAATTCTTGATAAATCGATTATTCTATTGAATAAAAGACTATTATTGTTGATTCCTATCAAACATGGGATTTACATGCATTGGCTCACAATTAAAATATCAACATCAGTTGCAGTTTGAATGTCACCGGAGATCAAAATTAACATTTCTGTTGGTGTTGCTGGCTAGGAAATTTAATAAATCATTTTTGATGCAAGTCTTTGTGTATTTGCATACATTTAAACAGTGAAGCGTTTGGGTTTCGAGAACGTCTTTGCCTCATCATATCTAATTCGAAATGAAATGTCTTCTCTGACCACTTCGAAGTACAAACGTTCTGAACTGTCCCTTGAGAATACACAAAAATGCATTCATTTCATGCCTCATGTGTCGTTGTTCTCTTATATTTGGTGCGTTTCCCCAGTTTTAGTTTGTAACCCGGATTTGTTTTTATCTCTATCGATTTATGAGTTTCGAACAGCGGTATACCACTGTTGCCTTTATTTATACTTTCATTTTCCATTTCGCGAACGCTCGGTGAAATGATATTGACAAATATAATGCCTACCTATTTTAAAATTATCATGGATCATGAGATGAACGAATTATTTCTAAAAAAAAATAGAATATACTTTGAAATATTTATTTGAATATGAAAATATTTTTTATGTGAACTGGCCGAAAAGAAGTGAAATCGAACAATCAACTTGAACCTTTACTTCTTTATTGCTACATAGAAATATTAAACAGAAACTTACGAACAAAAAGTAATAAAATATCATTATATGTAATGTTTACGAAGTTAAAAAAATGTATAGGATTATTTTCAGGGGGGATATATAACCGAAAGACCAATAGCTAATATTAATTTCTGAAAACAAAAGGGATGTTTTACTTAATGTAGTTCTGAGATCATGCATATACATAAATCTTTTCACGGTGTTCAATTATTCAAGTTAATCAAAGTGATTTGAAATTGAATGTATATACTGGCATTTGTTTGGTATCAATTTATAAAATTCATTCATGAAAAAAGAGTGATGTAAACTTACATTAATACGGGAAACCAAAAACGGCGTAATAAACCCAACAACAGTATCCAAAAAACAAATTAAAGACCAAGCACAAAGAAACCAAACAAAGAAACCGAGGAAATTCTTAAATTCTTAAATTCTCAACAAGGATGCGCAGATCCGACTCAATATGTTTATGTGGCACCGGTTGTGTTGCTCATGCCAAATACAAGTTTTATGATTTCTCATTCTTTGATGTCACAAATAAGGAAAAGAGGATGTATCAGATCATTGGTGTAGAGAAGCTGTTAGTAATATAGTGATTGGTGAAAATCTTGGCATCCATGTATTAAAATATCAAATGAAGACTGTCAATACCTATATAAGGATATCCCGTCAACTGTAGCAAATACTGTGATGGTTTTTCTTAAGTCATAGATGTTAAGCAGATTTCAGGACTACGCAACCAGGAAGATAAGTCTATACTATGTACCATGTTTGTATCCTATTGTTGGCTTATAAAATACCAATTAAAACCAACTTAGACGACGCAATGTATTATTGTATATGTAATATTTTTATATGAATTATTCATTAGACATTGAGGACATAAAATTAGCAAACGTCTGATTTACAACATAATCAGTAAAAAAAATAAAATAAAAAAATAAACAGTGTACTTCATTCTGTAAAACAAACCACCATGAAGTAACAAGAATAACAATCTGTATAAAGAAATTGAATAAGTATTAAAATTATAAACTCATCATAGATACCAGGCTTAAAATTGTGTACATCAGACGCGCGTTTCGTCTAGAAAAGAATCACCAGTTGCACACTTCTCTTGTAAACAAAATTACTAGTGACACTTGATAGTTACTCGTGTGAAATTATTCAAGAAGAGAACAGATCACAAAAACGGATTGGTTACTGTTTCTTGTCTAAGAATAAGAAATTACCAATTCATAGACCAACGGTACTTGTGAATTATTTTGTTCCTATATATGTTCAAATACGCATGTTTGAAATGAAAACCTTTTTTCTAAAATAAACTAGCATATATTTAAAATGCTAGAATTACTTCTGTTTGATGTATTTGATCACTACTTCTTATATTTGTGTATAATTCCCGGTTGATCAATTAGGGAGTTGATAAGAAACTAAGCTTCCAACTCTCTGAGGCATTTGATCGTTTATCAATTTGGGAATTCGTTTTAGATCCCCTTTGTTCATAACGCTCCTTAAGTTCTATATATTTATGCAACCCATGCTTTCAAAAAAGTATTAGGAAAAATACCAAACTCCAAGGCAAATTCAAAAAGGGACAAGTCCATAAAAAGCAAACGTTAGAGCATATCAACCAACGGAACCAATGGAAAATAACTTTCATATATCTGACTTGGTACAGGCATTTTTCGAAGAAAATGGGGGGCAAACCTGTTTTAATAGCTAGCTAACCTTCCATGTGTATGACAGTTGTTTAAAGTTCCTTTATATTGACAAAATTGGGTGAGCAATCCGAAAAGACATAATTAGTTACTGTGACAATAATTGGGATCCAGCAGCGAAAGCTATGTTTGGGTTTGAGTGTTCTTGATTAAGCCAAATCCAGAAAAGCGCTTTGTACGCACAAAACTCATGAAGTGCTATTTTCATTCTCCAGTAGAAATTGTAGCCGCATAACAGTGGAAAAGATCATTTATCCGAAAAATTTTCTCTCTTGCCTACAAAAATTAATAGGACACGGTAAAAATCTGTCTAATTAAAGCACAACGGTCAAAAGAAGAAATACTTTGCTATATATTGCTTCGAACACCTTTCTTATCATTGTAGCACAAATCACACAGAATACATGTCTGGGTTGGTTTAAAAGACTTACAGCTTTATTGAGAAGAAGTGAACAAAGCACAAGTTAACCAATATTGATTGAGATTAAGGGATGCAAGTACATAAAACTAAATCCTTTGGAGGTCAACATGTATACAGTCTTCAACAATAAACAGTTGTCTTTATACTATTTAAGATTTAACTTGTTCCGTAATGTCAATGGAAACTCTGAGTGTTACTGATGAAGCTAATGGTCTGTCCTGAGTACCGTGTTCAGCCCTAGTTTATGTTGGAGACGGTGTTGATTATTTTAAGTGTTATGTTTAGTGTTGTGTGAACGGGCAGTAGTCTTTTCGTCGTTATTGTACTCTCTATTTTACTTGAATTTATGATTTAAATAAACCCGTATTGCACCTTTTCTCTTTTTGTTTGACTCTGTATTACAGAAATTGTCGTCCGAGTTACAGTATGAAATTAATTCTGCTTCCGCTTCCGGAGCACCTGAGATCACCCTCGGTTGTTGATTGGGTTCGTGTCGTTAAGTCTTTAGTTTTCTATGTTGTTAACTATGTATTGTTATTTGTATTTTAGTGGATTTTAGTCTTTTGCCATAGCATTGTCAGTTTGTTTTCGACTTATGAGTTTGAAAATCTTTTTGGTGTCTTTCGCCTCTCTTTTAATTATAATTATAATTATATAATATGAAAATAAAAGATAAGCTAATAAGTAAAATATTCATGAATATGTCCTGATGCAAATATGGTGTAATGTTGATAAGGTGATATGCAACTTTGAATTCCAAACTCATTTAAGACAATAATTAATTATGTACATCTGTAACACGCAGAAAAAAAAGTTTATGATTTATTTTTCTTTAAACATTTCAATTGATGAAACAACTAACCAAAACAATAATTTTTCTGTAAAGACAGTTTCAACTCGGGAAGATTTATGGCTCCTTATGTTGCAGTGCCAGTAGAGATATAGAAAATAGAACCGTTGAAGATTCTGAGATTATCACTATATCTTTGAATTTGTCAGTTTTTATGGACTTCCCCTTTTTGAATTTGTCTTGGGGTCAGTATTTTTGTTATACTTTTTTCATATCTATGTATATACATATAAGCTAACACTTACATATCCATAATGACAAAAACTAAGCAAAACTATCCAAATCGACCACATAGCAAACAATCTCGACAGAAATTACTAGAGTCTTCTCAATAGCGATAACCGCACTGGTTTAATTTTTCAACATATAGTCACAGTAAAGTCTATAGATTTAATAACTGCCTACGTAAAAACACGTCATTATTTGACAGTTGAATATAATGCATATGTTTCTTTTGCAATAAACATGGATAAGATGCAACAAAAGCATGGATACAATAGCTTCAATTCTCGTTTTTTTAATAAAGCAATGACAAAAAGTTTTAAATCAGTATTCTAAATTATTAACAAAAGCCGGCTGTTTATTCATTGTTGCGAATATATGATTGTGAACAAGCATGTCATATTAAACCCTCGAGATTTTTCCGATTTACTTTACATTTTAGCTTTAACAACATAGTCCACATGAGTTGGTTTAAATGGTATGTTTTACATATATTACGTTTGACTAGAAAAGTAAAATGATATTGGACTGTTCAACTAAAATCAAATCGGCATAAATCGTATTGTTAAACCTATACCAAATTTTAAACTTGTTTGGTAAACAAACAATTCATAATATTTCATACATTTCTTAAGATTGCAAAATGACATAAAACCCCTCTTAATTTTTTTCCGATTTTTGTGATTTTTAAATTTATGTAAACTAATTGAATTGGAGGATAATTCTCATTTTTGATATTGCAATAAATATTGATAATCTGCTCACTGAAAAAGGCTACGGCTTTTGACATTTCGTCATTTTAGATTGCTAGAATGTTATAAAAGGACTTCGAAATTTTCCATTTAAAAATTGAACTTTCTAGTTTATTTTTATACAAAAAAAACATATCTTTTTAAAATGACAGAATAACGTTTGTTGTACTTTTTTCAACTGTGTTTCGTATTGGCTGATTAGTGTAAGGTTTACTTCGTATGTCCAAATCTGAAGTTAACCTGATTATGTCAGAAATATTTCAGTTTCCAAGCACATTAAGATATATAAGCTTCAAGCTGTGTCTTTCATTGTGATTAGGCATCTAAACATATAAAAAAGAAACTTTGAAGCTACAGGAGAAGGATAGCATAAAAAAGTATACCAACAATACCGAACTACAAGGTAAATTCAAAAAGGGGAAATCCACCAAAACTAACAAAATCAAACGTTATCAACCAAATGAACGAGTGAAAAACAACTGTCAGATTCCTGAATTGGTATCTTCCGAAAGAAATGGTAGTTTAAACTTGGTTTTATAGCTAGCTTATCCTCCCACTGTTATGACAGTTGTCTATAGTTCCGTTATATTGACAATATAGGTAAAAAACATAATAGGTAAATGAGACAATCATTGATCATTGGCATACATATTACGAAAAAGGGAACACAAAAAATAGCCAGCATTATACGAATGATTATCAAAAATGAGGAAACTACACCACATAGAAAATTTTAAAACAATATAGGTCTAAAGAAAAAGGAGAACATCACCACAATTACAAAAAAAAAGAAACAGGAACAATAACTGTTTACACAATATTATTCAGACAATAAAGGTTAAGAAGCAATACTACGCGAAAAAATAAACGGGGAAAACTCATGTGTCATGGATGGGTAAGCTGTTCACCTTATGCACTCTTATGGTGATGACAAGTAACATACCAGTAATATGTTGCACAAATACTTTGATGATCTATCTAGTTCTAGTTGTATGTAAATAAACATGTTGCTTCAGACGAGTGTCTATATTACTACATGAACACCAAATAAAAATCACTTTTACGGTAATTATGTATTGATTTAGTGAAAACAATTGTGAGGAGAACGTAATCAGAAAGATATGTCTATACTATGTACCATGTTTGTATATTCCTTTGCTTGTTTATCATAAACCAATTAAAATCAATGTAGACAGGTCAATATACTGCTGCATCTATGATATTCTTAGAATTGATTTTTTTGTTGTTGTGTAGACATAGACGTAACAACAAGTTTTTTTTTTGTAATTCAGAACACATCAAGGTGAACTTTTTTTTAAAGAATATTTTCAATTAAATGGAAACAAAAGCTACTTCGTACTTTCAAAAGCACCACAGTATAAAAACAATATCAATATAAAAAGTAAATGTAAATTTACTACTATTAGTTGTAATTTACATTATCCAATTGCTACACCAGTAGAGTTTAGAATTAGAATCAATTATTGAAATCTATCTACTACCAGTGAATAGGCATCTCATATATGCTTGTATATTTGATATATTACGCATGATTCTACATCCGGTCGATACTGTTTCTGTTTACTACTTATGTTTTGGCATTATGTGATTTTCAGTCTGTATATGATGTCTTTACATTAAAATTTGTTGGATGTGTACTGATTGATACTTTAGTTTCTGAGAACATGATTTATCTTTTAGTTGTAATAATCTTTGAACTAGCTTTTAGTAACTACGAGTACTCTTATTTCGATGCTTTGTGTCCAATATGTTTGTGCCTCGTACCGATCTTTTGAGTTAATCAATTCTTTACAGTTTGATCTTATATGTGCTGTTACACCTCTGTGCCAGGTAAGGGAGAAGGTTGAGTGTTGAATTCCACCATATTCCTTGTGTGCATGTCCCAAGTCAGGAACCAGTGGTTGTCGTTGGCTCAAGTCTGTCATTTACTTTTTTTTTTATATAAATTAGGCCGTTAGTTTTCACGTTTGAATTGGTTCCAATTTTTATGTCGGGGCCTTTTGTAGCCGACTATACGGTATGGATTTTTCATTATTGTTTTAGGTCGTACTGTGGCCTATGATTGCTTACATCCACTTCATTTGATCTCTGGTTGGTAGTTGTCTCAATGGCAATCATACCAAATCTCCTTATTTGTATGTTGTTTATATATTTGTCGCCTAACATTTATCTTCGATGAGTTTTGAATATCCCCTTGGTATCTTCCAAATGTTTTTTATATCTACTACTTGTGATACAGAATCAGTGTAATATATTAGACCTTTATAAAGCTTTGCAAATACCAAATCACAGTTATATAGTTGATACAATTTCCAATTGCAATTGTTTTCGTAACAATGCTATTTGGATTCCCCCTATATGCAATTTGAATTAACCAAATAGTAAAAGTTTTGAATGCTGACGAGCAAATAACCAAGCATATTTTTTTTTACTTTTACGACATATGGTCTAAATAGACAAGTAATATCCTGCAAAAAACTATAAAACCTCAAAAAAACTTTTATTTTACAATCTTTTAATATTTTTTACGCAAAAAATATTCATTCAATATGAAAAAAGTATGTGTAGTAATAAATCCAATTATACAACTTCCAGTTCAAGAACTAAATAACCTGAATGTAAGCATGCAACTATAGGTCAACGTACGACCTTCGGTAATGAGTAAAACCCATACTGTAAAGTAAGCTATGGAAGACCTCGACATGACAGAATGTAAAATAATTCAAACGACTAAATCAAAATGCATTAGTAGATATTTTAAAAAGCTATTTTACAGACATTCGTCATATAATTTCTACACTCGAAGGCTATATCCCTGTTAATATTGCACGTCAAGTAATAGGGTAAAACATGTACATTTCAAAGAGTCAAGAAGGATGCAGCGAGGCAACCAATTAAAACTTTGCTTAAAGGGGCATTAGCTACGAATTAAACTAAAATTAAAACATGTTTTTCGGTTTGTTTCAAATATTTATAAAAGCAGAATATATAATTGATAATTAACCATTTAGCAGCCAGTTTGGTTCAATTTCGTCAAAATGAACTGAAAACATCGCCGATGTATTATTTGTTATAAATCAAATATGACAATTTGGGTACAACCGTTGAATATGAATTTAACAACTAATGCCCCTTCAATATAATTCAGTTGGATTAAAATAGTAGGTTTGTGTGCATAAAAAATTGCATTCACACTGTTGAGCAGAAGTTCGCCAGTCATTATAAAAATCACTGCAAATTTCTAAATATAGTTTTATTGCATAATAAAGTTCTCAAAAATTTCTTTCAAATTACAGGTAGCACAATTTTTGAAAACAAATGTCCTGGTATTTTCACTTTGGGTAGCACAAGTCAAACGTGTAGTATGGAAGACATCTTCTCAAACTGAAAAAAAGAAAGACATTTTTAAAAACGAATTTTTGCAAGCCGGAACAAATCAAAGATTTAAAACAGATTGAAGGTCATATTGGCTACATCCCCACGTTACAGCAATGGCTATACCGTGTGTAGTTACTGAAGAATTGCCAGGCAATAGCATTATACTGTCATTAAACTAAGATTTCCAAAAAATGTTATGATCTTAAATTTCAACCATGAATAATTTGGAACGGTATTTAAATGTTGATGACAGGTTTAACCATGAAAAGCATACATACCTGGACAGCAAAAAGCAAAACGATCTAATCGATTAGTTTTACACCTGTATCCTTTTGGACATTTTTTTCTGTTTGGTGATCTACCGCAATTTATTCCCAGCAATGGAGTTCCCGTGGTACAAGCTTAAAATAAAGCAAACAATTAATGTATCGTTAGTGATGCTCTAGGTAAAACAACTATTAAACGAAAACCATTATTTGATAGAGACAAAACTTTGAAGTTGATAAGAAAACAAAATTATAGTTCTTTCCTAAGATTCCATCTTTCTGCAACTTGATAAGAGACTTACAATATGTATACGGCTTATGTGTACACATCCGCGAAGTAAGATTATTTTAGCACGTGCAGCTTTAACAAAGTTCATTAACATTTACTTTATTTGTCTACTTAGTTCTAGAGCAAAATTAAGGTTATATTTAGACAACTTATAATAGAAGATTATTTCATTTTGTTGTCAATTATATTTCTTTGATATTCTATGTTCGTACCCAACTTTTCTATATTCGGAGCGATTTAGAGCTTGAAATACTTTATATATATATTTCTCTATTGTTGATGATCAAATATAGACCTTTGGTTGTCTTTTTGTGTCGTTGTGATGCTGTCTTAATGACTTGTAATCCTTATTCTCAGTTTGTCCATAATTATTTGGAATAACTTATGTATATCACCATTGATATAAATCTCTGTTTTTTCTCTTATCAGATTTACATTTTAACACAAGGGAAGTTAGTTTTGTAGCTCCATAGTTACAAAATTACACTTTTAGAATCTACTTTGAAACAATCCTTTGTATTAGATTAATATGCTTGTTTTGACGAAAAATGTTGCAAAATTTCTGTGTAATATTTTTATCTCTAGGAATAACTTGATATTAATGTTATAAAACTGTTAATAACTGTCACCCTTACCTGATAAAGACACGATCTGTTGAAAATAATAAAACTTTATGCAAAGTATATAGCATGGTTGATATATTTACAACAAAATTATTTTACAGCCTGTATATACTGAAGGCTTGCGTGATGTTCATTTTATATATATTTGAGTGTATATTTTCCGTTATAAAAAGAATTAAAAGATAAAAAAACTTTTAAAAAATAAAGCTTTGCTGCTATCATAGATTATCTCATTTCAATTTGATTGAATTGGTTTTGTCTGATCTTCTTAAAATTTTCACACAGTATACTTTTTTGAAGGGTTACCAGAATGTATCGAAATATGATAAAAAGCAGTCGGGTTATCTAAGTTTTCGGATGTTTACCCTATTTCAAAATAGTAAGCCTTATACTAAAAAGACGTATTTATTGATGTGCCAATGACTGTGTGTTCCCCGTAACTGGAGTCACTATGGAAACTTTATTGTGAACAATGCTATAATTATTATTTTGTATACTCTTTATTCCGTCCGTTTCAAATACTGTAACATTTCTTTATTGGAAATAATATTCTAGAATTTTTTCACTTGGAAGTGGTATTAATAAGGATTTCCGTTGCATTGACGTATATAGTTGACAGAATACAGTAAAACAAGAAATGAAAAAAATACTTTTTACATTTGGACGTTTCTATTTTGATGATTTGTAAAATGTATTACAAATTTCTAATCTTTTCTATGACATAACATAATAATTATTTGTGTAGAAGGTCATTTTATCGATATGAAGCTAATCCCTGGTCGCGATATTGATTGCAATTCAGTAAAACAAGAACCTACGTCAAACGGTTCAACATAAGCAAACTGTCGGTTTATATCACTATTTGAATATGTTCCGCTTCCACTCTGACACCCGTCGTGTTCGTTATGGTAAGTACAAATTTGATGATAAGTCTCATTCGGTGACATCAGAATCGAGGAAAAGTTGTCGGGATTGTGGTTACGACAATCGTAACATATCCGTTGTTATCTATGATACAGATATTCCACTCAGGTCAGCCAACTCATGATGGTGTCCATCAAACTCTTGGAGGATCAAACTCAAAATTACTTCTTGAAACCCTTGTTTAATATATTTTCTTGTTAGCAGCAACCTTGCATCAAGGAAATCATCAGATAAACCTTTAACTATAGCGTCAACTGGAAGAAATATACTCCATATGCAGGAGCTGCTGTAATTTTGCTTCATAAAAATGACCAGTTCACGATTGAAAAACTGAAATAATCTCTTTTGTCGTAAAGTTTTGTTCTCAACCGACTTTTATTGACAATTCTAGATAGGGGTCAAGATATGAAGCAGAATTAACTGTTTCTGTAGTATCCTTTCTTTCAAATTTGAAGTCCAAGACACGTTTATCATAGTTACCAAACCTTGAATTATTCAGTAAGAAGACATCATTTATATACCGGAACGTGAAGTTTCAGGATAATACTAGATTTTTTACATTATACATGAGAAACACATGTGTTAGGTCTGTCTCATTAGAACAAAGGAATAAGTGGGCAAGAAGTGGAGCACAGTTGGTTCACACAGAAATGCTGATTGTTTTTTGACAAACATGTCATCCAAACGGAGCAAATATGTTGGCAATAAAGAAACCAAAACAAGAGTTCCATATGACACCCCACCGTTATAAATGAATAACATAACATCTTGCAGTTTACTCCGTGGATTGCCATATTGAACTCTTTCTGAAATCAAGCATCTTGATAATATCAGTCTTGTTGATGGTTGGACTAAATTTTGGAAAAATTCTTTCAATCTAGTTTTAAGTTGAGATTGAGGAATTGTATGAAATGTGCAGAGAATTAGTCAAATGTTTTTATATCATTTCAAGAGGAAAGACTTAATTTTTTGTATTTATTTTTTTTTATTTTTCAATATCGCCCATAGAGTAAGTTGTTTCACAGTAAATTATGCAGCCAATCTTGGATTTTTTTTATAAAATAGATGTTGATAATTCTAGAAGAAATTAAGAGATTAAGAATCCTTGGGGTATACGAAGACCAAGTTTCCACCCATCTCTGATTGAACATTCAATAGACATTTGATTGTTCAGGATTTCCTCTGTGGAAGAGTCGGTAGAGTATATGTTGAGTTTCAAGGTGAAATATCAATTCATAATGCCTTTATCAAGCAATTTATGCAATGTGATCAACGAACACACCTTATGTTGTTGGATGGTGTGTCTGCAGAGTTGACAACATATTTGGCATGACGCTAGGGCAGTTGTTAAGCGATATTTGGGTTATTACAGATGGATGTAGCTGAGTGTTTATAGATCCATAGAATAATTAATTCTTATTTGTATCAATGACGTCACATCTTTAACCCATTCGGAAAAAGTATCCACGTCTTCTATTTCACGTTTAGTTTATTGCCTGGCATAATCCTCGACTAAATCAATTAACGTCTTAAAGTTGTGTTTCCAAATTTTGGATTTAGGATTAATAATTGAATATTCATTGGGTGGCAGAAATATGCCAAATGGGTATGCTATTTAACAAAATAATAAATAAATAAACCCCAAAATAAAGTTAAACAGACATCCATGTTAATGTAAGAATAATAGTTATTTCACAATCTCTCTATCATTTAATCTATGTATATGAAATCAATAAGCCAACAAACCTTCTTTATTTCTGCTTTGCATGAAGTGCCACAGGAAGGATTAAAACAGCAAATGTAACCTGTAGACAAAATCAGGATACACAATTTACATATATTGTAAGGATATGATCCAAATAAAATTCTTTAAAAAACTTTCCATACTTGATCAGATAGAAATCCAACATGTGCCGTCTAAACAATATAATCAGTATTACATATGAACTAACATTCTTTTTTTGCGCTTCAAATATTTTCTATTAGTGTTATTATCTAAGAAAGCAACAATTAATTTTTCGTTACATGAATATCACGTGTCATTCCATGGTCACGTCAATGTCTTTTCGTCTATATACTGTCAAAAGTTAATAGAAAATACTTATACTCATAAAAACGTAATGGAGATAGCATGTACATTTAGAGTATGTTTGCTGGTATAAATAGCAGATCATAATGACAATCGTTAATTATTAAAGGTATTATGATATCAAAAAAACCGTTACTACTTTAGATTGTAGAAACTCACAGTTGCCTGTAAATGATTATATATTTTAATATATGAATTTATATATTTTGTCAAAAAAGAAGAAGAAATATATATATTTACCATTCTTACAGTCCTTTTCAGAGTTACAGAGCTGTTGATATCTCTTGCAAATACGGTTGTCAACTGGACATCCCGGTAGTTTTTTCTATAAGAATCGTAAACAGATCATTATTTTTGTTGGAATAACAAATCAAAACTTTTGGAAAAAAAACCTCATTTATAATTATCTACGGAAGGGTTTAATGATTTGTGATTACAGAGCAGTATATTTCATCTTTGTTGTGTTTTGTTTGGTTGTGTTGTTTTGGTGTTCTTAGATGTCTCCCGCTATTGTGTTATTTTGCTATTGTCATTTTTTGTATTCTTGTCTTTCAATTTTCTTATGTGCTTTGTCTATGTGCCATTTTGTTTTTTCTTTGTTGACAAATTTGTTTGTTTTTGTAGTGATCAAGATTATAACACAATGTGGACTGCTGTACCCCTATTTTTGACATTTTTACCTATTATGTCTGTTTGTTTTGTTCACACATTGTTGTCAATATAATGGAATTTTATGCGACTGCCATACAACTGAGAGGTTTAGCTAGCTATAAAACCAGATTTCATTCACAATTTTCTACATAAGGAAATGCCTGTACCAAGTCAGGAATATGTTTTCCAATCGTTTGATGTGTTTGAACTTTTAATTTTGCCATTTGATAATGGACTTTCTGTTTTGAATTTTCCTAGGAGTTTTTTTATTTTACCTTTTGCTTGCGCTTGTGTAATTTATGAATGTATTTGAAAAAATAATATAAATTAAAAAAATACTTTTCTTCTGATCATCAATAATTTACTGCTGTCGAAACATGTACATATATAAAACGCATGTTGATAACCTTTTTGATGAAGTACCTAATGAAATTGAGAATGGAAATGGGGAATGTGTCAAAGAGACAACAACCCGACCATAGAGCAGACAACAGCCGAAGGCCACCAATGGGTCTTCAATGCAGCGAGAAACTCCCGCACACGGAGGCGTCCTTCAGCTGGCCCCTAAACAAATATGTATACTAGTTCAGTGATAATAGACGTCATACTAAACTCCAAATTATACACAAGAAACTAAAATTAAAAAAACCTAATGTTGTAGTTTAAGCTATGTTTATTCAAGACAATATGAAATCTATTCTAGCTCGTTTCATTGTTTAACGAAACATGACGGTGTTTAAACACATATTTTAGAAATATTCCAAACACTTTAAATTGTGTATCCTTTATATGAATGTTTCTGGTTCAGCAGGCAAACTTCAGAAGGGCGTTGTTGAATGTATATAAATAGATTTATACAAGAAAGCTTACTTTGATGGGTGTAACTTTGCACTAATCCATAATTCACTTTAACAGGTTTACAGATACCACAGATATTGTTATATGAAATTAGTTGCAAGGGTTATCAGGATCTCAAATTTATATATTGTTTCTAGTAAAAAATATTGTAATGGTAATTATAATATGATGATATCTATTTATTATAATTTCTTTTGGTGAAATGTCGTGAAAAGACCTAAATCATTGAACAAAATATATTCACTCTCGCAGAAGTTCTTAGATCTTTTAACAGCAATGGCATAAGAAGTGGTAACGTCCAAATTCAGTTACATTTAGTCGACAATAGTTTACCGATGTTCAGATTTCGTAAATGGATTTAGAAAAGACAACAAACAAAAACTAAAAAAATCGCATGAACTGCAAACGAAGCAAGACCGGATGGGTCGACTGAGTAGGCGTTACCTACTGTGAATGCATCACCCTCCATTCGAATCCACGCTCAGTCAAAATATCGCAATTGTCAAAATTACAGATCAGATAACTATATATAATGTTCTAAAACATCAATAAACAAGCCACTAGTGAGGAGAGACACCGAAAATTTGTCAATCATTTCGTGATGGTGATCGAAAAACTTATGAAGTCGTTCCTCCTCATAACTGTGTTGGAACAATTTTCATGTAAGGAGCACATCCCTGTTAATGAAGTCCGTAAAGTGTGATATAGAAGCAGACATCCTAGTTTCGGTAGTATCCTTAATATCAAGTTCACTGGGATATTATGAAATGATAGCACTCTATGAAATGTGGTTATTGAGTGACATTAATATATATCTAAAAGTAAAACTAAAGAACTCTGCAAAATGCGTTTTCTTTTTGTATAACTTGAGAAGGTAATATATGTATTTTGCTGTATAAGAGTACAAAAGTTGGCCAATAGTTGTGCACAATTAGTACATATCAGAATACCGACTGTGTGCTTCCCAGTTTTGCTGTGAATTTCAAGTTCTTTATATAGACATTCCAAATAGAATTTTGCATATACAAAAAATATTGTTTGAAGCTTCGGTAAATGCCTGGTAATTTTAGATACTCACTGGCCTCATTCAAATATTTCCAATTTCAAAAGTCAAGATCATGTTTTCAATTTTGAACTTTTATTTTTATCGCAACTCCTCAGAACCGTAAAGTATTTGTTTAATTGACACAGCACAAATACTTTTTGTTCAAAGTACTCTTGTGACTTTTTATATAGTATTCTCCCCTTAAATATTCAATATAAGCTATTGTTATGGTTAAAGCTTAAAACTGGTATTTTATAAATCCATGGGATCTTTAGCTTTAGATTTATAGACAAATGACCTTAAAAAAGGTTAATTGAAAGTGAACTGGAGTAAACCAGAAGTGGCTATTTTTGCGCTAATTTCATGCAAAAATACATAGAAACCAGCATCAACATGGAATACACATAAAGTTACCAATCATACGACACAGGTAATGACATTCTGTAAACAGGAAATAACCAATTTTCTCCATTAGAAACAATTTTTTTGAATCAGTGTAATGTCAGTTATTATATGACACCGGAAGGTACTTTAACTGAAGCAGAAAATTTTCTCCCTTTTTTCATGTAAAGTGAATATGTTTGAAATCAATGTAAAGGAAACTATTATTTCATTTAAACGGAAGTAGCCGGTGATCTTCCTGACTTCATACAAAGTTTCAATAATTTATATATATATCTATAAACCGTAAGTTACCAATATTTCCAAAATTTTATTAAACAAATCATATATTCAATTTAAATGAATGTGTGATTTTGTAGGTGGACAGACTTACAGAGAACAATTGGTTTTGAATTCGGATATGATTTACATATCTACAAATACTTAAATGTGGTTGGTCTGTTAATATTTGTTCCTTGGTTTACAATTCGATAGATCATGTTTTCGAAACTAATTTCGTTGCCCATGTAGGCACTATTATAATATGTCTATTTTTCTAGAGATTATTTATGTGTAAACTGCTGACTCCTTTGGACTCTTATTCTGGTTGTGAGTTAATCGGCCCCAGTTTTCAAAGCAATAACCCCCAGAAAAAAGCTTCTAATACTATAATAAACGTGAGTAAACATTAAAAAAAAATTACTCAAATGTCGAAAAAGAGAGTTAAAATATGTTAGTCTTAATGTCAGCTGACATGTTTGTGATGTTTTTATTACAGCCAAAGTTGCAACAGGATAAATTTAAAAAAAAAATAAAAACGTAAAACCGAAAACTCACATTTTCAAATTTCATTGCATTATTTGTACTAGTAAAAGTAGTATATAGCATTTGCTGAAATCACAATAATTTATCTCGCAATCTTTTTCCATTGTTCAACAATTGCATTAAAAGATGCACGCAAAAATATAGGCACGGTCTGTTTAATCCTCAGTACTTTTTAAGGAATAAAGGAGAAGAACTTTAAGTGTTGACTTTTTATTTTGAATTCAAAACGTATCCTGGAAATATGAGATCTTGTATTTAGGCAGAATCTTCAAGCATAGACCTCTCTGATGTTCCATTAATGTTATAGAAAAACTTCCATACAGTTTTAAAAAAATTATATATGGGCATCTGATCTCAGTCCTATGGTAAGATAAAATATCAGTGCCACGGATCAGATAAATGCTTCTTACAAATTGCCAGTTTAATTAGAATAAGTATGAGGCCATTGTTGGGCCTAAATAATGGTCCAAATAAAGAAATTAAAAACATGTTAAACTATTAAGTAAAATGGTATTAAAAAAAGTTACCAATAGAGGTTTTCTACAGTTTTTTGAACGACATTCAGTTGGGCAGCATTTCTCATTCCCTACAAATTGTAATAAAACATTTTTATTTACATAACAAAGACAAGTGCATTGCAGGAAATCGTTGTATAGCAAAACAAAATCCAATTTTTGTACATAGAATGTTGATATAATATTGTAAATTCTTCATCTTTAACATGTTTAACCCAAAAGAATATATGTGCATCTAAAAGACGATATAAAATAGATTAACTTGTAGCTGATTTCTTTGCTCTGATAAAGAATTTCCTCCTAACAAAATCTAAATAGCAATTATGAGACAGATAATATCTGATCATTTGTTAAGAAATATACCATAACATTGTTTGAAGCTCAAAGTACACATTTAAACCAATCCTATTGGAAATTTTACTAAAGATTGAAATACTGTTTTCAAATTACCCATCTCTTTTGCAAAGGAATAATGGAATAAATTTAAAAGAAATCTATAGATAATTTTTGAATAATAATAAGTCAAAGAATTAAACAGAAATGGAAGTAGAATACACGGAATTGTCAAACGAATGAAGATAAGGTATGTTGACAGGGTAAACATCTAAAAGACTTTATGGACTCAACATCCGTCTCACGATTAGAAAAAAAATACACAGTGTCAAAAATAGAAACGCGGTTCAACCGATTATTGTTTCAGATTGACAAAGTGGATATATTGGACATGTGAAATGTTACAAATTAGAAATTTAGACCCTCTAATGATCAAACCGTTCACGTTTTCAACCAAAACACTTAGGGATCGATAATTTCAGATGTTATTCTCCATAAACGAATTTCGGTACACGGGTTTTGTTTTTGTCAAATGCTTGTTTTATTTAATATTAGTACAAGAACAAGTGGGCTATCACTAGCTGGTGGGTACAATAAATGAAAACAACACGTTATAAATTTAATGCGTCCGAAGTGCTTTTCTGGATTTACCTTTACCAGGAACGCTTAAAGCCGAATATTTGAATGCCAAGGATGTACAATTATCCCTTTAAATAGATACCGACAGTCTTTTGGAACATCTATCACAAGAAATATATGCTGTTGATAATAAAAAAAAAAGGAATTCAAACGGTATTTTTTTCGATTAAATCAAAGCAATTTCCGAATCCTTTTAGAAAATTCTTACAAGAACTTTTTAGTTCAAATTGTCTGTACCTATCTACAAAACTTGACTCACACATACAATGGATTTAACATCCCCAAACGATTCATTAAGCATGTAGGCTTTTTCTATTGCTTTCTTTATATTTAACTTAACTAGCCTTAATACGGGACTTTTTGTTCAATTGAAATGCATTTTAATCATGAAGGATATCGTTGAATCCTAGTATTCAGCATCCACCCACATTATAGAACTTCAAGTCTTTATTCTAATATCAAATGTGGAATAAAAATTGTTGTTTTGTTGTTGTATTCCATTTCGCACCAAAGACCTTCTCGAATTTAAAATGGCAATCATACAAGTAGAAAATTTGGCATTCTTTACAGTATTGTGTCGCTCACTTCTTTTGTAGAAGAAGTGAGAAATGTGAGTATCATTTTGTTTCTTCACTTTTTTGGGGGGTTTCGGATAAGCCTTCGTATTTTTACACCTCCATAATGTAAAATTGCTACTTTTAATGTAAGAAAAAATATTTCTACTTTTGTCCTAAAAATACAGTTTGACATATGAAATGAAATAAGAAACGAATTTTGCAACAAAACCACAACGGAAGTCTCGTCGAAAGACAACACAATTCACCCAAACACACATTGATTTAGAACATCACAGATAACAAATAAGAAAAAGTGAAAAAAGTTTAATAATCTAGTTGCAAAAGATTCCCCCTGAAAACACTGAGAAATTGAGCATTTCAAAGTTCTACACGTTCCCCATGAGCACGCTACTAATCATATAAACTCTCACAAGAAAACTTTCTGATAAATAGTAATAATGAACAAAACAAGTTGTTTTCTTCTAAAAATGGAAATGCAAACGTGAACCTTAGAACGCTGCTTATTTGAACGGTCAATTTATTGTACAAATCTGAAACCAAAACTTTTTAATAATTTCATTTAATATATATTTGCAGATCATTGTTATGGGATTTCAGATAGGGGTTAACATAGAAATTTTGAATTGTATCGTAGTTGATATGGAATGTGTATCCAAATCTTTAAAAAAAAGGAATAAAAATACATTTATTTCGAATTATGTTCATTCTTCATATATACAGGAACGATTATGTGTATTAATATATAAGAACACAATGTACTGTTGAAAACATACTATTTACATTCATATCTACTAGTAGTTAATTTTCTTTCAAAATAAATATATGCCGATGGGTTTATTTTATTTTTTCCGAAGGAAATTAAAACATATCTACAGCAAAGTATATTTATGCATTTATATTCATATTACAGAATTTTTGTAAATGCACTCTCAATAATACAATTAGATTCGAATAAAGACTGTATGGTCTAAAGTTATGTATAATATAAAAACTCACACACACGAAATATAGAACAAATCTTAAGGTGAATGCAATTTCTTGTACTCTAGTATTGAGGAACGCATCTTTTTCAAACAAAAAGTTCTTGATGTGGGTAACAATTTAGCTTTACTGTGCAAACCGTCAGACGATCAGACGTTCGTGAGGATCAAACAAATTCTTACCCTATTGGAATTAAAATTCCGGAAGGTTTCGCCATATACAACTAAGATAACATATTTTATAAAGATAAAGAAAGAGCTTTTGTTAAGTATTTATTAGGTATAAACATCAAACATTCGCATATCATTAATTTGTCTCTGTATATAGTGCTTTATCTTTATAACTATTTTAAGAACGCTAGCTGATACTGCATATACAGGTGTCAGACCACCAATTCAAAACCATCATATAATCAAACATTTTTTAGCTCATCTGGCCCCAAGGGCCATGTAAGTTTTTCCCATCACTTGGCGTCCGTCTTCTGTCGTCGTCTCCGTCGTTTGTCGTCGTCGTTTGTCGTCCGTCATCCGTTAAATTTTACAAAGATCATCTCCTCTGAAATTACTGGACGAAATTTAACCACACTTGGCCACAATCATCAATGGGGTATCTTGTTTACAAAATGTGTCCGATGTTCCAGCCTGCCGACAAACATGGCCGACATGGCTTAAGATAGAACATGGGGGTAAAATGCAATGTTTGTCTATTATTTTGAAAACCGCTTTAAATAGAGAAAATCTGACAGATGCAAAAATGTTTAAAAAAATGATTTCTACGTAATGACTATTGACATTTAAACTGTAAGACGACTTAATTTTTTCTTTATTGCCTGTTGTCTTGAAAATCATGATAAATAGAGAGATACTTTATATAGCAAAAATTATCAGCAAGACAAGACCTACAAATAGGTCATCATGGTCAAAATTCTCTGACAACTCCTTATTTGAGTTATTGCCCTTTAATGACGATGTTTACCAATTTTTTGGGTTTATGCCTAATATCTGAAAAACTAAAATAGATAGGTAGAAACTTTAATTAGCAAAAATGATCAGCAAGACAAGACCTCAAAATAAGTGAACATGATTAAATTCATTTGATTCCTTATTGGAGTTATTACCCTTTAATAACGATTTTTACCATATTTTTTTTTTTTGTGTTTTACCTTATATCTTAAAAAAATTGTAACAGATAGATTTAAACTTAAATCAGCAAAAATGAGCAGAAAGACATGATCTACAAATAAGTTTTCTGACTGTAATCATCAGTTCTCCCCTTATTGGAGTGTTTTGTCGATTATCTTGAAAACTATTATGGATAGATAGCCACTTTAGATAGCAAAACATGATTAACAAGACAAAAAAATGTTTGTCCTATTCTTGTTCACATTGTTGGAGAGTGTTCATTGTGGAAGATGCACATAGACCTAGGAGAGCGAAAAGCCTCTAGTTTTCAATTTTAACAGCTTTCTAAATATTTTTGCCTTATGTTTAACTTCATAGAAACCATGTATATCCTGAATTGTACATGTATCACCTTTCCATATGCCAGTCTTGAAGCAGTTTTTAAAGTCTTGTAGTGAAACACGATCGTGCGAAAGTCAACTGCTACTACGAATAACCCCTGGTTATCTTGAAATCATAAATAAGTATACTATGGAGGGCATTAATCGTCAGTTTCAATGGAAAATCATGGACAAGTAAATTTTGGCTAAAAATTGTCTTAATATATTTCTCTTTCACCAAAAGATTCATTTCTGCAAATATTATTGTTAGTTTAAGTTAAACAATGACATCAAAGAACCATTTTTTGTCAGGGTAGGGCTACATTTATTTTCTGAATTGGAGTGGTTGAATTGGTGGTCTGACACCTTAGATCAGTTGATTTTACCTAACCCGAATAATTCAATCCCTCCTTGTAATCGACCTCTCCTACTCCTAAAAAATCATCATAGAGCAGCGGAATATAATTTCTGAATTATTCGGATTAGCTTTTAGCGTTCAGAATACCTCCGATTGAAGTCGTGTTCCCTGAGGTATTCACGCAATTAAGATAAAAATGAAATTAATATACGCTGCTATCATTAATTTCTTAAAGGAGAGCGGGCTTTGGGAATTTTGTTAAAAATTGGCTTGAAATGTTTCTTAGGGGATAAATTCCTGATGTACTAAACTCTTTTCAATTTTCTACTGGTTGCATGCGTCACTTGAACAGACCAATTTGGTGTATGCATAAGCAAATAGTCGTAGTAATAGTGCTTTGATTTGTTCAATCTTCTGTTTCCTGTGTTGTGTTTTATGAACTGTTGTTTGTATTTTTACACTTGGTAACTTCTACCTCCCATTTATCAACAACATTAAAAGAATTGAAATTATCGTGTGTATGTCTTTGTGGTTTGTTAGTGCTTTTTCTGGTTATTTGATTATTTTTCATATTTGAACTTCAATTTTTATATTGATTGGCAATACAATTATTTTCAATTTTTTTCACAATTTTTTGTATAATTTTCTTTAATTTTTATCTGGGCTTCTTAATTTTCTTAATGTGCAGCAATAAGATAATACATACCTGGACAATTGGCGTCATCTCCAAAGCAATTGGAACTGAATAAAGCTGTAAAACAAAAACCAATTGGTTGGTCCAATATAGGCGGACAAACACCACGTTTTTTTGTCTGAGTCTAAAATAAAAATGTAAATATCATTAGTAGTCTGTACAAATCTATTATTCTAATATAACGCTCATTTTTTCATTGAACATAAAGCTCAGTTCTAATTCCAATAAAACATGGGGTGCACGTGCATGACGTCACAATAATAATTGCTTTGTCAGTAGTAGTTTAAACGACGCCGGAGATCAAAATGGACATTTGTTGGTGTTGATCGCTAGCAAATTAGATAACACCATTCTAAATGTTAGTCTTGATGTATTTGCATACTTTTAAAACATGAACGGGGTGGATTTCTAGAATGCTTTTACTTCATCAAATCAAAATGACTGCCTTGCGAACATGTCTTCTATGTCCGCTTCGAAGTAAAAAAAGTTCTGTATTTGCTATAAGAATCGAAATAATTCTTTCATGTCATACTTTTTTTTCATTTTACATTTTGCTAACGCTCGGTTTATAGATATTGACAAATATATTGCCTGCCCATGTTAAAATGAGCATATATTATTATTTTTTTGTACTTTAAACAGGCCTTCAGTTTTCTCGTTTGAGTTGTTTTACATTTGTCATTTCAGATTCCTTTTATAGCTTACTATGCGGTATGGGTTTTGCTAATTGTTGAAGGCCGTAAATTTGTTAACCTCTACGTCATTTGGTCTCTGGCAATCAAACCACACTATCTTATTTTTTATATATAGAGCATAACATGAAAAAATTATTTCTTAAATAAAAGTAAATACTTTGAAATATTTATTTGAATATGAAAATCCTTTTTTTATTGTAAATTTGCCGAATTAGAGAAATGTCTAACAGCAAACTTAAATCATGACTTCTTTTAAACATAAAATCATTTTAACGCAAAAACTTACATTATTATATTAACAAAAAGTCATCATGCTATTGTGAGCAATTTTACGAAGGAAAAAAAAATATATAGCGATATGTTCCAGTGATTAATTTCTCACTGACCAATAGCTTATATTAATTTCTGAAAATAAAAGGAACAGCCTTGCTTAAAGCAGTCTTGAGATCATGAACGTGCATATTTCTTTTTATGGTGTTTAACTATTCGACTTATTTAAAGTGAATTGAAATTGAATATATGATTCATATCACGCAATTTGTATGTTAATAATTTGTAGAATTCTTCTTATTTTCATAGAAATAAGTGCTCAACACAGCATTCGAAAAAACGTTACAATAACATATAAATGATGAATGTATCAATTATCTGTCTGATAACTGTTACAGAATTAAACCAAAATTGCTGATGCAATACCACAATCAAATATTATGAATTATGAAACGTACTCCTTAATTGTAAATTAAAAAAACATGCTGATCGTATATACAATTGACAAAACTAAAAGGAGAAGATATTTGTGGCAAAGGGACCGGCCTTTTATGGTCGAGAGTTTTTTTTTTTTTTTTATCTTATTTAAGACAGCTGGGCTACATGTTTTTCTGTAAGAAACGGATCTACACCTTAATTCAAACATAATCTTTCGGTAGAGGGAACAACATATTCAAAACCCATAACAAATAATCTTAACAGTGTCTGATTTTGAAACGACATGACAACATTATATTTGTTAAAGTTTTGTTTTCAATCAATTCCGGTAACAGGTCCTACATGTAGATTAATTCTGTTAGTCAAGGTCTTTTAAGCTGGCTTCAATATGTCGACAGAAGATACCAAATGAAAAACAGAAAATATAAATCGACAAAAAACCAACAATACCATTGAAAAAACGGAAAACTTCAAAACAACTAACAACCATAACCAAAAAGGCTATATAGAAATTAAAGACTAAGCAAAACGAAGCCGAACAGAGAAACCGGGGTTGATCACATATTTTTTTTGGAAAGGTGAACAGATCCGTCTCTATATGTGGCACCCGTTGGCAAATATAAATTCTGTTATTTCCCATTCTGTGATGCCACAATCAAGGAAAAGAAGATGAATGGGTAGTTAGTACTATCTATCATAATGATTGGTAAAACCTAATGATTTATGTTTTACCATATGAAAAAGAAACTCTCAATACTTTGTTTTAGATTATAGATAATCAAACAACAGTAGCAAACACTTTAACGGTTTATCCTCAATCAATCATTGTAGGGTTTTCTGTTCTGATGCTTTTCTTATCAAGAAAGACATTCAAATATAGAAAATTATACGTTTATCTACATGTATAGATTATATTAACCACTGTTGCAATAATTGTATATCGATTAAAGTTAAACAGATGTCAGGACTACACAACCAGGAAGATAAGTCTATATTATGTACCATGTAGACATAGAGAACATAATCTACATTAAACATCTGATTTCTAATATAAACAATGAAAACAGAAAAATAAATAAAAAGTTTACTTCATACTGTAGAACAAAGCACCATGAAATAACAAATATAACATAATATAAAGAAAATGAAAAAGTATTATCATCTTTCTCTTGTAAACATAATTACTAGTGGCACTTGATGGTTACTCGTTTTTAAATAAGTTTGTGGAAAGTATCCATGAAGAGGACATCTCACAAAAAACGGATTGGTTATTGTCACCTGTCTAACCATAAGACATTGCCAATTCATAGACCAACGGTACTTGTAAATTATTTTGTTCTTATATATGACCAAATACGAATGATTCAAAAGAAAACAGTTTTTTAAACATTTTTGTTTTAAGGGCCAGCTAAAGCCCGCCTCCGGGAGCGAGATTTTCTCGCTGCGTTGAAGACCCATTGGTGGCTTGAGCTGTTTTCTGCTCTTTAGTAGGGTTGTTGTCTCTTTGACACATTCACCGTTTCCATTCTAAATTTTATTTTGTTTCGAAATAAAATAGCATATTTACAATACACGAATTACTTCCGTTCGTGAGTTTGCTCACTACTAGTCCTATTTGTCGATAATTCCTAGTTGATCAATTAAATAATTAATAATTAATTCCCTCAGGCATTCAATTTAGCTATTAGTTCCTTTTTGTCATAAAGATCATACCGTGTGTAATTAATGCACCCCTCGATTTCAAATGTTTGGGTTTGAGCATTCTAGTGATGTTAAATCCAGAAAAGCGCTTTTGACGCAAGAAACTTCTTCAATCCCCAGTAGAAATCAAGTAGGTATTGGTCACGGTTTCGATTTTGGTTTCACTTATGGAGAAAATGCCTATCAGTGCAGCACAAATAAGACATAATACATGTATGAGTTGGTTTCAATGACTTGCAGCTTTATTGGGAAGAGTTGAATAAAGCACATGATTACAAATGTTGATAATTATAAATTGATTAAGATTTAGAAATGCAAGTCAGTGAACAAAACTAGATCATTTTGAGGTCAATATACAGGCTTCAGCAATAAACAGATGTATTTATACTATGTACACTTAGTAGACATAATGATCCGTCCAGAGAACCGTGTTCAGCCTTAGTTTTTGGTGGAGATCGTGCAGCTCAATTCTAAGTGTTTATGTTGTGTGAACAGATGGTTTTTCGTCGTTATTGTGTTGTATGTTTTACTTCAACTTATGGTTTTAATTATCTCGTTTTGCATCTTTTTTTCCCTTTTTTTTACTCTGTATTACAGAAATGGTCGTATCAAGTACATATTAAATTATCTAGCGCTAATTAAAACAATATTCTGCACTGACCAGTATTACACAAGATAAAGTATTCACGAAATTTATTTGTAAACAGTTATTGTCTTCATTAACTATTGTATGATATTGCTCATGCAGATTTGTTAATAAAACACTTGGGTTTTTTTTTATTGCTTCATGTTATATTGGTATGAAGACATAAGAAATACTAACAAGTAAATTGATTAAAGAATATGTCATATTGCACATATTGTGCAATGTAAATAAGGTGATATGAAACTTAGAATTGAAAAATCAATTAAAACAATAAATAATGTTGTACATCTGTGACAAGTAGAAATTGAATTTTCTTTAAACATTTCAGTTAATGAAAACAACGATTTCTGTTATGGCACACCGGAAACCGGATTTCAACCGAGCGAGATATCCGACTCTGTATGCCCTTATGTTGAAGCACCAGTTAAACTTAGAAATTATTTTAAGGACTTGTTGTTTAAACTGAGCATCTACAATAAGAACATCTTGCATTTTTAAGGTAACTGATTTAAACAAAGTTTTCCAATCAAGATGATCGAGAGAGGACACTAAATCACCACAATTTTAAAAGTGACATATTCAAAGAAGGTGTTGCATTATTTTGAACTGTTTGTGACGTTCTGCTTGGTCAAGACGTCTTTTACAAGAACGCTGAGACTGTGCCACGTGTTTTACGAGTCCAAAGTCTCAATTTTTTTAATAGCAAAGTAAGAGATATTTCGTCTAGAAGCGGTGAATATTCTGAGATTATTACTATATCTTCACATCTATGTTTATAAATATAAGCTATGACTTACATATCCATAATGAATCAAACTAAGCGCAACTATCCAAATCGGCCACATAGCAGAAAATTAGACAGAAATTACTGGCGTCTTCTCAATAGCGAAAACCGCACGTCCTTAACTTTTTGAAATGTCGTCAGAGTAAAGTCTATCGATTTTGATTTACAGTTGAATAGAAAGCATATGTACCTTTTGCCACAAATATGCATAAAATAAAGCAAAACAAGTAATACAATGGTTGAATTCACATTTTTTTTAAATAAAAAGAAAAACATATGTTTTAATTCAGAAATTCTCTATTATTAACAAAAAAGCTGGTATTGATTCATTGTCGGGAAAATATAATTGTTCATTCCGATTTGTTTTACATTTTAGTTAAAATTACACAGTGGACATGTGCGTTTTTTTAATAGCTTAAAATACATTTATGTTAGACTAGATAAGTAGAATTACATTAAGACTATTCAACTTAAAATAAATCGGTATAAACGTATTGTTAAATCTATACCAAATTTTAAAATTGTTAGGTTAACAAAATAATCATTATATTTTGTAACACTTCTCAAAATCACATATTGACATAAACCCCTCTATTTTTTGTGCTTTTTCAATTCTTGCAAACTGATTGATTGGTTGGATTATTCTTATTTTTTATGTTGCAATGCATACTGATAATAAGCTCACTTTAAAGGCAAGCTATTGGCGTTTTAGGTTGCTTGAATGTGGTAAAAGAACTTTAACATTTAAAAATTCAAAATGAAAAATAAATACTTATATATAAAAAAAAAGAGAAACATTATCCTTTAGAAATGACAGAATAAAGTTTGTTTTAAATTTTGTTTTTCAACTGTTTTGGTATGAGCTGTTTAATTTGATTTACTTGGTAAGTCCAAGTCGGAAATTGGCTGTATTATGTCGGAAGTATTTCAGATCCTAGCGCTATAAGATGAAGAAGCTGTAAGCTATATCTTTCATTGTGATTAGACATCTATTTTTGGACAACATATAAAGGTGAAACGTTTAGGCTACAGGAGAGGGATAGCTTATTGTCATCTTTATTACGAAAAAGGGACAAAAAATATAGCCTGATTCATATCAATATTTGTCAAAAAGGAGGAAAAAACACCAAATAGAAAAAAAATAGGTCAAATAGAAAACGACGAACATCACGACAATTAGAAGCAAGAAACCGGAACACATTATACTATTAAAACACGTGGCTTCAGACAATTATTTTCTTAACTAAATGAACACCAAAGATGTTTTACTGTTCCTATAATTGTTTATTGATTGAAAAAGAACGAATGCAAAGAGTACGTAAATAGGAAGAAAAGTGTATACTATGCACCATGTTTGTATATTCTTGTTGGTTTATAAGATACCAATCAAAATCAACATAGAAAGTGCATCACACTGTTGTTTATATGATATTTTTCAAAATTGATTTTCTCGTGTAGAAATAGATGTAAAATAAAGTTTCTTTTTTTATAATTCAGAAAAGTAAAATGTTAATTTTTTTTCAGAAAACTATCAATAAAATGAAAAAAAATATGTTTTTCTTCAAAACAAAGCACCGCTGAATAAAAGCAATATAAAAACAAAAAGAAAATATTTGATGTTATTTACACTATCCAAAAAAAGTATAACAAAAATATCGAACACTACCACAAATGTGACACCAGTAGAATTTAGTTTTAAAATCCAATATTGAAATATATCCACTACCAGTGATAACGAATCTCACACTAATATATGACAATTGTTTTATTCTAACCATTTGAAGGCCATCAGTACATGGAAATTATATATATCTAATACATGATTGAATATGTTAGTTTGAAATTCCTATTTTTTTAGAAAATGGACATGCAAATTGTAGATATAAAAGATCTCGACTAATAGATTACCTCAGCTGAATTTGGCAAAAAACTTAGGGATTTTGGGTCCTCATTCTCTTCAACTTCGTACTTTATTTGGCCTTTTAAACTTTTTTGTTATTCGAGCGTCACTGACAAGTCTTTTGAAGACGAAACGCACGTCTTGCGTACAAAATGTCAATCCTGGTATCATTGATGAGTTAATTTGCCACCGCTGGATCAATGCCACTGCTGGTGGAGTTTTGCTCTCCGAGGGTATCACCAGCCCAGTAGTCAACACTTCTGTGTTGACATGAATTATCATTGATATGGTCATAATCATAAATTAACTGTTTACAAAACTTAAAATTTTCGAAAAAATAAAGCTTTTCTACATCGGAAATAGATTATCTTAGCTGTATTTGGCAAAAATTGTACAAATCTTGGGTCCTCAATGCACTTCAACTTCGCACTTTATTTGGCCGTTTTAACTTTTTTTTATTCGAGCGTCACTGATAAGTCTTTCGAAGACGAAACACGCGTCTGGCGTACAAAATTTAAATCCTGGTATCTATGACGAGTTTATCTTACTACCACTTGGTTGATGCCACTGCTTGTGGAGTTTTTCTCTCCGAGGGTATCACCAGCCCAGTAGTCAGCACTTCTGTGTTGACATGAATTATCATTGATATAGTCATAATTATCAATTAAAGTTTTCGAAATACTAAGGCTTTTCTGCCTCAGTAATAGATAACCTTAGCTGTATATGGCAAACATTTTAGGAATTTTTGGTCCTCAATGAACTTCAACTTCGCACTTTATTTGGCCTTTTTAACTTTTTTTCCAGCGTCACTGATGAGTGTTTTGTAGACGAAACGGGCGTCTGGCGTACAAAATTTCAATCCTGGTATTTATGATCAGTTTATATAGGAACAACACAGACATTGAAAATGAATTACAATTACAAAAGTGATAACAGAAATAACCACAAATATTGAACTGAACAAAAGACAACATCAACACCAACATCTGAGAAAATGTACGCCAAATCATTCATAAACAAAACATCAAGATAATCTGACTTCCTATTGACGATTATGAAATTTTGTCTGAGTGTAAACTCGCATAAACACGAAACGCTTACCTTGTGACCTTTCGGTCTCGACCGCTTGTGAGTTCGTTCGATCCCTTCGTTTTTGATTGATACCTTGATTTATCTTCTCAACCAATTTATGAGATTTGAACATCGATAAACTACTGTTGTCTTAATTTGCTAAAGGCTAAAATTATGATCGGGTTTAACCAATATTTTGTAACCACACAAACATTCGTCATTTAGACAATATGTCGTAAATACAAAATAATGATAAATCTGTACAGACCAGCTGCCTGTTGGATTCCGAATAACTTCAGCAAGGAAATAAAAAGACGGCACATTAATTTGAAATAAGGGCCAATGTGCCCACTAACAGAAAAAAATAAATAAGGTAGCCATAGCTGTTGGTTTCATGAAGTCTGCTTATGAAATTTGATTTAAATGAACAGTTTTTGTGAGAGCCCAGAAAGTATTTGAAGTCGTCTCCCACTGTAGAAAACCCCATTTAAATCATACTAAAAAGCATGTTACGCATTAAGCTCTTGCTGTTGAAAATGTCTATCTCGAATTTAATATTTTATATTTTTTTAGTACCATTAACGACATAACAAGAGAAGATGGAATACGTAATATCGTTTAATATTAACCAGTTACAAGAAACAACATATCCGAGAAAGATAGAACGAACATTATTTTGACTACCCAAATCGACCCCATAGGAGAAAGTTACTTACTTCTTCTCAGTAACAAAAACTGCAGGAATCAAAGTTTTCAAACTCTAGATAGAATAATTTTTATCGATTTAGTTACCGCCAATTTGAATACTTCATTATTCAACATTTGAAAAGGAAACATGTGTTTCTATTGCCATATATAGGGATACTATCAACAAAAGCAATAATACAATGGTTCGAAGTCAATTTTTTAAGAAAAGATAAAAATAAGTGCACAGTAGTTCAGCAATACTAAATTATAACCATTGAATGTGGAAAAAATCCTTTGGTGAGTGCATTTCAACAAAAAGTTGATTGTTTAATTTTGGGGCGAGCTAACATAATTGTGTACAAACAATTCACATAAAAGCTGTCCAGACTTTGATATTTTTTTGTCCTCTTTTTAAAAATAACTAAGTGCATTTTTCTCAAACAGCCTAATAGAATCATATATGTTTGCTTAGTATAGATAATTGAAATTAAATTGGAACATCCAAAGAAATAATCGGTATAATTCGCATTTATAAAACTGACACATAAACACCGGTTGATGTAGTTAAAATTTAAAAATTACATAATCGAATTTATTTAAGTATCCGTAGTATAACATCATTTTTTATTTAGCTTTTCGAATGTTGGCAAATTTTGAGGTTTAGGTTTTTTGTGAATTATCATTTTTGAATTGATAAAAATTCCCTTTTAAAAGTAAGTTTTTATATTCACACAGAATCATGTGTCTGCGTTAATAAGCATACTACAAATTAGTCCAGTATTCATTGGGGATCTACAAAAAAAAACATAGTTTGTCGCGTTCTTTGTTTCCTTTTTTGACGATTTAGCTACTGAAATTAGAGATCTAGATACTGGAATATCGTGTGATAAGGAAAAGAACAGTCTTCTTTATATACAAACGACATAGTTATACTGACAAAGAACGAAAGTAATACAGTGTTGCTTAGATGTTTTGTACAGTCGGTGCCACGTTGGAGACTTAGGGTATTGTTTAAAATCAATTTATCATACATTTTGTAAAAAAGCGTACATGTCCCACAAAACAATTTTGATTTTAAGATTGGAATTAACAGGTATGTTTACAAATTGTAAGTCAATACCTATGTGCAGGCGTAATTTTTCAGGATAAAATGGAATATAATGTTGCTGGAGGACGGACACTAGGAATGATGATATAAGAAAAATCACAGTTAAAGGACATTGGATTTAAAACATTTGAAACACGTTTCGAGTCTTGCGTCGTACCAGTTATTGACTACTGTGCAGGTGTTTGGGGATTTATAACATATCACTTCATTGAAGCTCAAAAAAATGTGCTGTTAAATACTGTTTGGGGTTACACAAATTAGCATTATTTGTTTTCTGTTAACAGTGAACTAGGATGGTAACATCCTACTTTAACAAAACCTTATAAAATTGTCCGTTAACAA